AAGCAACGCTTCTGGTGGCCCAAGATGGAGAGTGAGGTGGGGGAGTATGTTCCCGCCTGCCCGGTGTGTGCTCGGAACAAAGTTTCTCGTCGGCCTTCCCCTGGTCTCCTACGTCCCCTTCCTGTACCTACTCGCCCTTGGTCGGACGTCTCTCTGGACTTTGTAACAGGTCTTCCCCTGTCCCAAGGTAACACAACCATTTTGACCATTGTCGACAGATTCTCAAAGTTGGTGCATTTTGTTCCTCTGCCCAAGTTACCCTCTGCCAAGGAAACGGCGGAGGTTGTCCTGTCCAATGTTTTCCGGTTACATGGCTTCCCTAAAGATGTTGTGTCGGATCGGGGTCCCCAGTTCGTCTCCAAGTTTTGGAAGGAGTTCTGCGCTCTCCTGGGTGCCACCGTTAGCCTCTCCTCCGGCCATCACCCTCAGTCCAACGGACAGACCGAGCGGCTCAACCAGGAGTTAGAGACCGGTCTGCGCTGTCTCCTCTCTCAGAACCCCACTACTTGGAGTAAGAATCTTATCTGGGTTGAGTATGCGCACAACACATTGCCTTGCTCTTCTACTGGTCTTTCCCCATTTCAGTGTGCTTATGGCTACCAACCGCCCCTGTTTCCGTCCCTGGAGGGAGAGGTCAGGGTTCCTTCTGCCTTGGCACTGATTCAGAGGTGCCGTCGCATCTGGACTGGGGCTAGACAGCAGACCGCCGACGGATCCCTGCTCCCACCTATCGTGTCGGCCAGAGAGTATGGCTCTCCACTCAGGATCTTCCTCTTCGAGTCGAGTCCCGTAAGTTGGCGCCTCGCTTTGTTGGTCCCTTCCCTGTCTCAAAGATTATTAATCCTGTTGCTGTGAGCTTCCCAGGTCCATGAGGTCACACCCAACGTTCCATGTGGCTCGGATCAAGCCGGTCAAAGAGAGCCCTCTGGTTCCTGCCTCCAGACCCCCACCACCCCCCCGGTTCATCGATGGAGGGCCAGTTTTTTCTGTCAAGCGGCTCTTGTCGACTCGCCGGCGGGGTCGTGGACGCCAGTATCTGGTGGATTGGGAGGGCTATGGTCTTGAGGAGAGGGAATGGGTATTAGGGCTGAACGATATACCGTGTCATTGCGATAACCGCGGTATGCGCATACTCGGTATTCACACTGCAGGGACGTGCGGTTTTATTCATTTTTTTTTCAAATGCTAACGCACTTTAGCACAGAATTCAAAATAAAGATACCCTTATTACTTATCGAAACTGCACATACAATATATCCAATTAAAGCTGAGACTCCACAGATTATTTAAGTATAGTATCTAAGCGATCTGATCTCGCGACAGGGGAAGCAAACACAGACATCACAACACGTACCTTTTACGGGAGATCGTCTCACCGTAGCTGTCAATCTGATCAAAAGACGTGTTCAATGGCATTAAAACGAGAAAGAAAAAACGCGGCTGAATCGGTTGATCCATAGGTTGATAATGTATCTGTGGCTTTGAAGCAATTGTTTATAATCCATAATTCTATTTTTATGTAAAAATCGGAGCACAACAGTTAGCTGCTAATGGTAGCCACCATCAATCAATCAATCAATCAATCAATGTTTATTTATATAGCCCAATATCACAAATGTTACATTTGTCTCAGTGGACTTTACAGTTTGTACAAAATATCAGTACGACAATACGACACCCTCTGTCCTTAGACCCTCACATCGTACAAGGAAAAACTTCCGAAGAAAACCCACAGTTTAAAGGAAAAAATGGGAGAAACCTCAGGGAGAGCAACAGAGGAGGGATCCCTCTCCCAGGACGGACAGACGTGCAATAGATGCCGTGTGTAAATTGAAAAGATAATACATTTGCAACATAGGTAGTCCAAATGTTTGGAAATGCATGTGTGTATAATAGGAAGATGAATCCACGAGGATATCCATCCAGGACCTATGATCCAGGACCACAGCCACGACTCAAGATCCAGGGCTCGCGATCCAGGACAGAGGAGCGCAGGATCATCCATGACTCCGGATCCCGGCGTATATAGACACCAAAAAGAAAGACATTTGGGGAAGCTGGGTTAATCGGAACATGAGAGTACACAGGTATAGACAGAGAGAAGGAAGAAGTAAGATGTCCCCCGACAAACTAAGCCTATATCAGCAAAACTAGGGGCTGAATCTAATCAGCCCTAACTATAAGCTTTATCAAAAAGGAAGGTCTTAAGCGCACTCTTAAAAACGGATAGGGTGTCTGCCGCCCGAACACAAACTGGAAGCTGATTCCACAAATGTGGAGCTTGATAAGAAAAGGCACCAGAGTGTATGCAGCTTCCGGTTTTGGCTACGCGTCACTCTCACTCCTTATTTGGTAATGTGTGTGTGTTAGACTGCGCTGGACTGCCGCATAGCCAAGACCGGAAGCAGCAGCCACTCTGGTGGCTACCATTAGCAGCTAACTTTTGCTCTGCGATATTTACATAAAAATGGAATTATGGATTATAAATTAAATCATTTTTTTATACAGAAACGTTAAAAACCTATGGATTAACCGATTCAGCCGCGTTTTTTCTTTCTCGTTTTAATGCCATTGAACACGTCTTTTGATCAGATTGACAGCGGTGAGACATCTCCCCTAGAAGCTACGTAAAGGTACGTGTTGTGATGTCTGTGTTTGCTTCCCCTGTCCGAGTTCAGATCACTCAGTGATGATACTATATACCTAAATAATCTGTGGAACCTCAGCTTTAATCGGATATCTTGTAAGTGCAGCTACGATAAGTAATAATAAGGGTACTTTTATCTTGAGTTCTGTGCCAAAGTGCATCAGCATTTTTCGCTCAGGGGTCATTTAGATGCTTCTTATGAGACTTGTGTTTTGTTTTGGTAAAAATGGTTTGTATCGTCAGTTAGCTGAGATTATTTCCGTTAATCTGGTATAACACATTAATAGGTTCTTAAATATTACGATCCCCTGAGACACTGTCGTGAAAAAAAAAGTAAAGTATCCGCCGGGACTTTGGGGTTTAACAGGTTAAAAAACCCGCAATATATACCGCAGGGGGGGAAAAAATCGCAATGTCAGTTTTTTTCAATACCGTGCAGCCCTAATGGGTATCTTCAAAGAACATTGTCGACCCAGACCTCATCCGGGATTTCCACAGGCATCATCCAAACGAGCCTGGACTGTCCGGTGCCGGTCGTTGAGGGGGGGGTACTGTCACATCCTGGCCCTGGCTGATCGCCTCACTCCCTCACCTGTGTATTTTCGCTCCCTGTTAATCACCTGCCTGGTCTCAATGAGCCTCAGCTGTCCCTAATGATCACTCCTCACCTGTGTATTTAGTCTGTGCTGTTTCCTTGGTCAGTGCCAGTTCGTCTTGTCTGTATAGCAGAAGGTGCTCCATGTTTCTCTTCTGACGTAAGCTATTGTTCTAGCTGCTTAGCATTTGTACCAACCTAGTTGGTTGTTTTTTTGTTGCTTCTCTAGTAGTTTTCCGCCAACTTAGTTGGTTGTTTTTCGTTACTTCAAGTAAGTACATTTTTTGATCATTGCCTGTTTTATTTTTACCTTTTGGATTAAACGCTTGACTAAAGACCTTATTGCCTGGTTGTGCTCTTGAGTCCTATTTTTGCTCGTGCCCGTACTTGTGCTTGATAATTACAGTTTGTTTCAATAAACATGAATTGACCTGTGCCGATAAAGCGGCACAGTTGTGGTTTTTGTGTCAGTAAGAAAAAGGCTTCTTGTACTCATTTCTTGCCAGACATCCCGCATGCTTCCACTGAACTCCAAAACACAGGTTTGGGAAAGTCCCAAAGACAGGGTGGGACTTGCCCTGCTGTGACCCCTGAAGAATGTATCAATCTGGTTCCAAGTCACACAAAGGCGTGTTGCTGCTTTAGGAGGTTGTGGGTCACCCCGCCCCACTTGAACAAAAGCACCTGGAGTTTGAAGCTTCTGTTGGAGAAATGTAAATGTCAGCTTATATGTCTCCACAGGTGAGATAATGCATTTGGTATTCATACAAGTGTTAGCTTGATTGACTTTTGGGTTGTGTAATCTACCCACTTTTTCCCTCAGGGGACAAATGAATCATCTCATGTAACTATAATTATTTATGACTTTTTGACATAAATGTAAACTGTCTGTTGCACAACTGATATTTTCTGATAAATCCAGCCATTTACAATACAGATACTATGGGTCTATTTCATTTGATAGAAACACAAACTCATTATTTGAAAGCATTTGAAACGGCCTAAATCATTTTTTTTGAACTGATGACGTCTACTCTTTTCAGTCATGAATAGGAAGCATTCTCACGCTTGATCAAGTGGAATTTTATTGTCACCTAATGAAGCCACCTGGACAAAATGATTCCACCTGCACTTGCGCATTAGTAATTAAACAACGTCAATGTTTCAACATGACACATGAGTCTGCATCTGGTTTCGGGAACATTTCACATGTCTTTACAGTACAGCTTGGTTTTTATGTTACGCAATGGATTTTTATTAAGGATTCTAAGCCCACCACTCCCTCCCCGTCCTGTTTTGCTTCTCTCAGTTGAAAACCTGCAAAACCTGAGGGTCGTCCGCACACAAAGACAATGCTCTCTGTAATCACAAGGCATCCTGTTCTGCATGTCACAACCTGGCAGGTTTGATAAGGATGATTAGCATCTCTGCTCACTTTCAATTTGTAAAGGAAAAATAATCAATCCAATAACACACAAAGAGCGTTTAAGACTCCTGTATTTGGACAGAATAATCTTTAAGACTCACCAAATGTACAACTCATTATGTGAGCTTTGTTTGAATGATTGTCAGTTGAGCAAATATGCTCACCTCTGGTACAGTAAGAAAGGATCAATCTGCATGCTTGTTATTGTTTAAGAGCACAATGGGCATGCGCTGAGGAAATCTGCAGGAATTCCTGGCATCCTGTGATCAGAGCAAAGGGATCTCCGGTCGTTGCTCCCTCGCAGGCAGGAGAGGAGGGTGTTTCTCTGAAGGGGAGGGGCTTAACTGCTGGACCTGCTTTATATCTGACCAGTGAGCACTGAGAACTGCTCTGAGATGTTTGGAGCACCTCTAAACATCAGTGACTCTCACACCGGCTAACACTGACTAACCACAGTGAGACTTTCTACACACATCAGGTAAGAGCAGCCTTATTTATCTTAATGTTTGGGGATTTAAACTTCAATCATTTCTTTGTTTCTAAAGAAATAATCAGTCTCTATAAGAAAAGGCTCTTTCTAGGTAGTGAAAGTGAACTTTAAACTGCAGCTTAGTTTCTTTAGAGTGGGACTGAGATAGTGTTGAAATTGCTGATGTCAGCCAACACCCTTCTGATAAAATTGGAAAGCAAACATTCCTCACTGATTACCACACTTCCACATTCCTGTTTGGGTAACTGGTGTACTTAATTTTATTCCATTTTATACTATGTTTTTATTTAGTTTGTTTTAAATTTTGTTTGTAAGTTTTGTTTTATTGTGTCTTAATTATGTTCTGGTGCTTTTATGACTTCTTAACATGTGGCTTGTGTGTTCATTGATCATTGTACACCTCTCCTATGTTGATGTCTTATTGTTTTGTAAGCACTTTGTGACTTTGTCTGTGAAAAGCGCTTTATAAATAAACTTTACTTACATGTTATGATAATATTTTAAGACAAGGAAAACCTGAATATCCCTGTTAAGGCTTATCTGAACATTGTGTCTTTATTATGAATCCGGCATTTTCCACAGACACAAAAATGTTTATGCAACAAGTGATACTCCATTGCCTCACTCATTCCTATTGTTCATTGTCAAGAATGCAATAAGAAAGATTGAGTGTCTATAGTCGTGGTGCAACTGGCCATGCAGACATTGTGTCCTTCAAAGGTGAAAACACATTTGCAGTGGGTTGTTAATCTCGTTCTACTCCGAACATCTTAAAACAGATACTTGCTTCAGTTGAAGCTAAAGTTAATGCCCTACAGCCTACAGTATATAACTCATTCAGACACGTAGGAGTAACATGGTTTCACTTTTTACTCTAAATACATTTCATGTAATAAGCCTTACATACCATTTAACATATTTTAAGACTGGAATATGAGGTATTTTTTCAAAGGTCATCTATGTTATGAACCATCTAATATGTCAAAGGCATCTTCATTACAAGCAAAAATAATGAACACAAATGCAGTTATTATTAGAATCAGAGCTGCAACGATTGTCTGACTTGTTGATTTACAAAAAAATTGATTGACAATCATTTGACAGATGAATTAGGATATTGTAAAGTTAAATAAAATAGTTATATAAAAAATCCTAGATTCCTGAAGATATCATATCAGGCGCTCAGACAATAATGATTGTGATGGTCACTTTCCCGCAGTTTTACAGTTTTACTCATGGGCACAAATATCTTCTATTTAGACAGATTGTCCTGGCTAAATTGAAGCTAAAGTTAGAAGCGCTATAACTCAAGCAGACGAGGAGGTCATAATCGAATAAGTAATCTAGATCATACGTAGATAACAGATATTGAGGTGTAACTACTTGCTTGTACAATTTAATATAATCTGAAACACATGTCAACTTGTTTGTTTTTGCCGACACTGTTACAGAGGTGGTAATTAAATCATATGTGTTAGCCCTGTGGCGTTGTAGTTGGACTGCATTCTATTGAGGAGTGTCTTTAATATTATGCACCCACCTTCAAGTGTCTTAATATGAATAACAAAATAAAGGATGCAGTGTGTGTGCTCAATATCAACTGTATATAACATTCACACTTCTCAAATGTCAATAAAAGCGGACCAGTTTATGTTTCTGAGACAGAGTTCCCGCCTATTTAACTTTATTGTCACTATCTCCTCTGTGGTGTGAAAGTTAAGTACAATAGGCACATTATTACCAGTGGAGCATCACGATATGATAAGCAAATAGCATGGTGCAATAAATGTAAAGTAAATGTTCAACATCTAATTCAAACATTTACAAAGTAGGACACGGCCTCATTCAGCAGCACTGCAGGACAGCTGTTGTCATACAATACACAGCCTGTGGTTCAGCATGTTGAAAAAAGTACACACCTTCAGTCTACTGAGACATGACAGGAGTGCCACTTTTTACTCGCTTAAGGTGCGTGAATGGTGATTAACATGTCATGCGGAAAAGCTCATTTAGTTGACTTTCTGACACAATTTGCACAGTAAGTAACATGGAAGACAGTGATTATAAAGACAATGGAGCCTTGTCTAGAGTTACCCTCTCTGTTGTGTATTGCAACAGTTAGCAGGTTTGTGAAGGCCATGACCAAGTTCCTTCCACACCTTGTTTTCTTAGTGGGTTTTCAATCCTCCTGAAGGCAATGACATCATGTATCACACAGAGCCTGAGCCACAAACTATCAACAGAAGGTGTGGAAAATAATGGTCTTTGCAAATCAAATTCACTTGTTTGAATGATGTAATTTGCATCAGTGAAATAGTTAGAACTTGAATATTTCGGTTATTCATTGTCAGTCTGGTACTGTATCGTCTCATTCACATTTAATTCAAAGCTTTATAGGATCTAGAACCCTAAAACACTAAAATATATTGCACTATTGTTAAGTTTTATAGTGTTGGATATTTTTTAAACCTCACTGGCTCTCTGCCTGTTTAAATCTTGACCTTTCCCTCCCACACACTCCCACTTTCCCTCCTTTTTTTGGGACATTTATACATTGTTTTTACTGTTTTTATTTGTATGTGTTATTTCTATTTGTTGAATGTGTATGTGAATGTCTGGTATTTGATTGCATTCCTGTTTCCTTTGGTTTTCTTGGTTTGTGAAGCCACAATAGTTTTGAAATCATATTATTATTAATATTTCCCAAATGTTATAAATACGGTCAGTTTTTTCCCCTCATCACCCGATGTATCATAATATGCAATGCGTCCATTTTTCTCTTTCAGCAATGTATCAATCTATTCTAAAAAACGAATATTATCCCCAACTCTGCAGTTCCCCATTAGCTGAAAGGAGCATTTATGAAAGTAACTAGTAACAAGTTATTTTACTTTACTTTAAAAATAATAACAATAAAAATACAAGTGTTTGTGTTGTTCTGTGGCACAGTAAGAGAAAAGACAACTCCCCATCATTGTAGCAATTATCATTATGAAATGTAGTGGAACAATACAGCTAGCTGATAATAAAGCATGCGGCTCTGACCGAATCACTGCAGAGCACCTTAAACTGGCAAGCCCGAAGGTTGCAGTTCTTCTTGCCATTTGTTTTACCGGCCTCATGACTCATGGTATGTTGCCAGACTCCATGTTGACTGTTACTTTGGTGCCTGTCATTAAGGACAAAGCGGGCAAGGTAGGGAGCTTGGATAACTATAGACCAATTGCTCTAGCCAGTGTGTTGTCCAAAGTCTTGGAAAGAATTTTGTTAGATAGACTATGTTCCTATTTATGTACCTCAGATAACCAGTTTGGCTTCAAGGCTAAGCATGGTACTGAGCTATGCATCTATGCTTTGAAGGAAATGGTAGAAACATATAGAAGACAGAATTCCACTGTTCTGATTGGTTTCATTGATGCCTCTAAGGCTTTTGACCGAGTTAACCACCATAAACTGTTTTTAAAATTGAGACAAAGGGGTGTGCCTAACAGTATAATTAGGATCCTGGCTTATTGGTATGCCAACCAGAGCATGCGGATCAAATGGGGGAATGCAGTCTCTGCGCCATTTGGTGTTGGTAATGGAGTCCGCCAGGGGGGGGCTCCTCTCACCATGCCTTTTTAATATCTATATGAATGATCTATCAGATGATTTAAGTGTCTGTAAAACAGGGTGTGTGATTGGTAATGTGATTGTAAACCATCTTATGTATGCCGATGATCTGGCTATTGTTTCTCCTAGCAGTGCTGGTTTTCAACAGTTGCTAAATGTTTGTTCTGATTACGGAGTCAAATTTGACGTTAAATACAATGCTAAGAAGAGCGCTGTAATGATCTGCAGAGCACAAGGGGATAAGAACCTTTGTTTTCCAACATGCTATCTGTCAGGACAGGTGCTGTCTGTTTGCTGTAACACTAAGTATCTGCTGTCTGTTTGCTGTGACACTAAGTATCTGGGACACATCATCACAGATGAAATGGCTGATGATGATGACATGTATAGACAGCGGCGTGTCTTATATATGCAAGCCAACATGTTGGCTAGAAAATTCTCTTGGTGTTCAGATAAGGTTCTGGTGAACCTCTTTAGAGCTTATTGCACTCCTCTCTATACTGCCCCCTTGTGGGTCAAGTATAAGAAGGCGAGCCTCAAGAAGCTCCAGGTTGCATATAATGACTGTTTGCGTATACTGCTTAGAAAACCAAGGTAGTGCAGTGCAAGTGAAATGTTCTGTAACGCACGAGTCAACACGTTCCATGCTCTTTTGAGAAATCGAATGTACAAATTCATCTGTCGATTGAATGTTTCTCATAACTCTGTCATTATGCTGCTTTCAAATCCGTGTTTCAGTGCTGTACGATACCAGTCACCTCTGTGGAAACATTGGTATAACTGCCTTTTTTAATTTATATTTGAGTGTTGTATGTTTTTTGTAATAATGGACCAAGAGTCTCTTTAAATAAAAGATGATTACTGATTACTGAATACAACAAAAGATATGTTTAGACATTTTGACAGGCATCTTTATTGTAGCCTCAACAATCAAGTTCTAAGTAGTGCACTTGTAGTGCAATATGAAATAAAAACAACTACACTCTTTTGGCAGTGTAACAATTAAACAAGAACTACACTCTTTTGGCAGTAACAATTAAATAAATAATAAACTGTCAGACTGACACTGAAGACAAACAAACTATTTTCAGCCTCACAAAAACAAACTAACAGTGAAATAATTTACCTCACATCTGGCCATTTTGCATAAACACAATCAATAATGGTGGATAAACTTAAGAAGGGTAACACTTTACAATAAGATACACAAAATGTGCTTAGTTACTGCTTAGTTACTGAGGAACTACTAGATAGTTAATGGTTAGTTAATGAGTAGTTCCTCAGTGACTGCGATTGAGGAACTGATGGTTAGTTACTGGTAAACAGACTGGGGGTACTGTATTAATGAATCATTCGTTAATGGTTAGTTAATGAGTAGTTCCTCAGTGAACTTATGGTTAGTTACTGGTAAACAGACTGGGGGGTACTGTATTAACGAATCATTCGGTAATGGTTACTTAATGAGCAGTTTCTCAGTGACTGCGATGGATGGTTAGATAGTTACTGGTAAACAGACTGGAGGGTACTGTATTCATGAATCATTCGTTAATGGTTACTTAATGAGGAGTTCCTGGGAGACTTTGATTGAAGCAATGGTCCGCTGCAGCAGGGCACTTTTAAACCTGCCATCTTCGGCTGGCTTGGGTCCCACCCTGGATCAACTGGTGGAGGTGGATCCGATTTACCTTACCATTACTTAGGCCGTTAGCTTGAAAAGCACCGGGTTTTCGTGTTCACACTGCAGTGGAGCAGCCTCTTAGCTCCGGAATCCGGTTCGTTTCAAGCACCAACAAATTGTCCGGCCAGAGCAAAAGCACCGCATACGTCACGCTTACGTCGAGGCGGGGGCAGAGACAGATCAACTCCTGAACAACAACAAAAAGCCCGCGTTTTATCCAGTTTGTACACAACGATGGAGAAACTTAACAAGAGTTTCAGAGTTTCTGCCATAGACTGTAAAGGTTTCTGCTCATGGTGAAGCAACGTGTCTGCGTGTTAAGGTGGAACCTGAGCATTCACCTCTCATTATAACTCATTATAAACTTTACTTCACGTGTTCATTTGAGAACAGCTGTTACATACCTGGTTGAAGGTTACAGTTCATTTAAATGAAAGATACAAGTTAACGTTACTCCCCACTCATGGTTCAGTCCGCCTTAAGAAATAAGACCGACCTCGGAAGCAGTTGTGTTTTAAAAAAACCTTTATTGACACGAGTACACTTTTTTATTAGAATATAGTCTAAACCACAGAAATGACTCCGGAAAAGCTGCAGATAGAGCCATAAGAAATGAATGCAACTGATTTCATCCGCGCGGTTTGGCTTTATGAAGCAGGCACGCAAACGGTTACGTCATGACGAAAACGATGACGAAAACGATGACGCAACGACGCATTACCAGTCGGACTCTGGGCGGTGTGAAAACAGCCAGAGCTAAACCGAAGAACCGGTTCTGAACCTGAAAAGCTCTAACACGGAGCTTGAACCGGAGTTGCGTTGGTGTGAATGAGGTAATAGATCAAGGCAGACTGGTTTACAGACTCTCCTGTTTTGCCAAGCCGGTGCTTAAACAAATAGCTCTACACCCCTGGCCGACATGTCCTTAAAATAAAGTCCGAGTTTGAAATATATGTCAAATAATGTATGCACTGCCATTTCCCCAGTGGCGAACCGTGTCTATCGCAACTGGAACTTCTGTTGACACACACATTCCCAATGTGTAAAGTCGTGTCATTTGTACGCAGACTGAAGAAAGTTGGTTGGTGCTCCTCTTCCTACTTGGCACACCGGTAACTGGCTGAGCCGCCGAATCCCTCGGAACATCATAAAAGCCACTTTCAACTGTTTTCTGGTGAAAGTTTAACTAGGCTACTGGATGAAATAATATAACTGGTATTGGTGCGAAAATTAAACACTTTTTGAAAAAAACATGATAAAATATTTTTATATATTTATAATTCTGCAAATATTACGATAAACTCACAGCTATTTTGCAGCCCGGCAGTAACACCTCCGCGGCACGGCACCGGTCCGCGGCCCGGGGGTTTGGAACCCCTGGCTTAAATAATGTAACTTGTTGGCAAAAAAAACAACATTTATAGTGGACTGAGCGCCACTATCCAATATCACCCTTGTTGTTATCAGGCACATTTACACATCAAGTGTGAGTGTGTGTATTTATTGAGTTGTGAGCAAGTAGCCTAGATAAACTGGGTAAACACAAAGGTACAATTTCAATACATGATAAAAAGACTACGCTGATAACGAACATAGAGAGAGAGATTTGATGAGCAGAATGTTCATCACCTGCCTTATCTCAACAGGGACCGAGTTTCAAAGCTCTAACAGGTCGGAGTACCTTTGGCCTTCATCAGGAGCGGCCCGGAACCTCCGAGGAGCTGAGGCTGCAGACTGATAAGGAAACAAAAAGGTTAGGAAAAAAACTTTGACTAACCAACTTTTTCTTGCACAGTCTGGTGATTTAGAGGCTTTACTTTATTATTTTTAAACTTCATGGCCTTAACTCAATTACCGAATTTCACTTTCAGTATTTTGCTGCAATATATTAGATATTCCTAGAAGGGCCAATAGGCAAACATTAGTGTTAAGCCTTTTTGCATTCCCTGATATGTGTTAGCATTAAAAACAAACAGAAAACAAGTAAAACAGCTGCAATTCTAAATTGAAAAAGAGAGCCACAGTAAACCCTCATGATAATATGTTTAAAAATCATCACAGTTGAAGTAGTTGCAACTGTCTTCCCTTCATTTAGGAACTACTTTATTACAATTATTAAGGCCTTTATACCCTACGACGTTCTTGAATTTTTATCTTGGCTTCTTCTAAAGATTAAATAACTGACAGTATGAAAACACATTGGCCAAACAATTTGTGATTCAAAATCAAGCAAGGTTTTCATGTGATGAACTTGTGGACACCACAACATAACCAAGGAGAGTAGCAATGCAAGTCAAAAGAACAACATAATGCAAAAACAATTACAATCATTTTCATTGATGGTTTGGTGAGATTTCATAGTAATATTAAGGGCAGCCCAAAACTTTAGGTAAGATATTTATATAAGTGTGCCTTGTTGTCTACTAATAGAGGAACTGACTATGAGCAAGAAGTATGAAATAAATAAATGTAAAGTTATCCTCTTAGCGCTTCATATTTAGAGAAAAATTATTTCACAAATGTAGATGCGGAAAACACTTAATCAAGTTCAGTTATGTTGAAACTGTTTTAAAAATGTAGTAATAATACTTTATGGTTATTGTAGAGGCTGTAGTAAGTGGTGCTGTTCAATTGTACTGAATTAAAAAGAAAGGGATTTTAAGAACTCCAAACTTATTTATACAAACGATGTATGTATTCACTATTATTATTATCAACAGCAACATGAACTACAGTCTCCAGAATTAACATAATGTATATCATAGGCTTGTACATTTAACAATGTAAAGACTTTCTTCATAGGAATTTCTGTAAACATATGTAATGGACACAACAACTATATAACTCACAGAAAATGCATTCAAAATCCAAACCAATTACGCAACTGTTTCTGTGTTATACAGCTCTTGAGGCAAAGATGGACTCCAAGCGAAATGGCCACACACAAGTCCAGGGACCTGTGGGGGGCATCTTTTTGGAGAAAACAAAGGAGAAGATAACCATATATCAAGCCATGAAGAAACGTCTGCTTAAGCCAGGAACAGCATTAGCCCTGCTGGAAGCACAAGCAGCCACAGTAGGTATCGTAGACCCAATAAACAACAGAATACTTCCTGTTGTAGATGCTGTTAAGGAGGGAATAGTTGGACCGGAGATGAAAGAAAAGCTCCTCATAGCAGAGAAAGCTGTCAGTGGCTATGTAGACCCCTACACTAACCAAATGATATCTGTATTCCAAGCTATTCGAAAAGATTTAGTCCCAATAGAATATGGATTGAGGCTGCTGGAAGCACAGATTGCCACAAATGGCCTGTTTGATCCTGGTGAGAAGTCAACTATTTCAGTTGAATCAGCAATTCAAAAGGGCTACTATGAAAAAGGTTTGCTCAATGACCAGATGTCCGAGCTCAAAGTATTCTACAATCCAAGCTCACAAGAAAATCTAAACTACCAAAACCTCCTCAAAAAATGCACCGTGGAGCCTGACACAGGCCTGGTGCTCCTTCCTGTTTGCATCACTTTTAAAGGTCTGCGGAGAGGTATTTCCTCCACTGAACTTTTTGAGTCAAAGATCATTGACAAACAAACATTTGATGACCTACAGAAGGGAAAGACCAGCACACAGGATGTGATGTTGATGGAAACAGTGAAAGAATACCTGGAGGGCAAAGGCAGTATCGCAGGCATTGCTGTACTCTCATCTAATCAGAGAATGAGCATTTATGAAGCCATGAAGAAAGGTATACTGATGCCTGGAACAGCACTTGTTCTACTGGAGGCACAAGCTGCAACTGGATTCATGATTGATCCTGTAGAAAATAAAAAGTACACTGTGGATGAGGCCATCAAAAACAAAGTTTTTGGCCCAGAATATCATGCAAAGCTGCGTTCTGCTGAGCGAGCAGTTACTGGCTACAAAGACCCATATTCAGGTGAAACTATATCCCTGTTTCAAGCCATGTCAAAAGACCTCATGGTTAAGGAACATGGGATCCGCCTTCTTGAGGCGCAAATTGCTACAGGTGGAATAATAGATCCCATCAACAGTCACAGACTACCAACAGAAGTGGCCTTCAAAAGAGGTTATTTTGATGAAGGAATGAACGCCATACTAGAGGATTCAGGGGATGACACAAAAGGTTTCTTTGACCCAAACACAAAAGATAATCTAACTTATCTTCAGCTGATGCAAAGGTGTGTCACTGATCCAATAACTGGACTGTGTCTCCTCCCTCTCCTCTCCAAGTCAGACTGCCTGAATTTCAACTTCATTGACTACCAAACTAAAATGACTTTCAAAGAGGAGAAGGTCAACATGACATGCGGGAAGTACATGGGAATGACAGTATCTCTGTGGGAACTCCTCATGTCAGAATACTTTGATGAACACCAGAGGCGAGACATCATTCAAAAGTTTAGAGAGGGGAAGCTCAATATCAAGATGGTTACCACAACAATTCTGGAAGTCATTGAAAAGTCTGTGAAAACAACAAACTGTGTCTTTGAAGGCATCAGAGAAACTGTTACAGCCAAACAGCTTGTGGACGCAGATATCATTAGTAAAGAGGTTATGGAGGATCTGGAAAAGGGAAAAATTTCAGTGAAGGAAGTGATAGCAGATGAAAGTGTAAATGTCTACCTACAGGGGAAAGACAGCATTGCAGGCATTTTGCTTCCTGATTCTCAAATCATGAGCATTTACCAGGCCAAACAAAAAGGGAAGTTGATGCCAGGAACTGCTCTGATTCTACTGGAGGCACAAGCAGCAACCGGGTTCATCATTGACCCAATCGGAAACAGAAAGTGTTCAGTGGATGATGCAGTCAAAGCAAAGATTGTGGGGCCTGACGTGTGTCAAAAGTTGCGCTCAGCAGAGAAAGCGGTCACTGGATACAAAAATCCATATGATGGCCAAATAATCTCATTGTTCCAAGCCATGCAAAAAGATCTCATCGTCAAAGACCATGGAATTCGACTCTTGGAAGCACAAATTGCCACTGGTGGGATCATTGACCCAGTGAACAGCCATCGCATTCCTGTCCATGTGGCCTATAAGAAGGGATACTTCAATGAGGAAATGAATGAGATACTGGCTGACCCAAGTGACGACACCAAAGGATTCTTTGACCCCAACACCCATGAGAACCTGACATACTTGCAGCTCATGGCCAGATGTGTTAGAGATCCTAGTACAGGTCTTTGCCTCTTGCCACTCAAAAGCAAAAGCAACAGAATTAACATAGATGAAAATATGAAGGAGACTTTCAAAGCAACAATAGTTACTGTTAAATATGGAAGGTTCAAAGACAAACACACAACACTTTGGGAACTTATCAATTCAGAGTATTTGACAGAGGACAAAAGACAGGAGCTTTTCAAGCTCTTCAAATCAAGGAAAATCACAATCGAGCAACTGACTGTCACCATTTCCGAGATCATTGAGAGTAAGGAGATAAAACAGCAAGCAGGGCTGAACTTTACGAGTCTCAGAGGAGAGGTCTCTGTGGTGGATCTTTTGCAACTTGAAATAGTGAATGAAACAACTTACAACAGTTTGATTGATGGAACGATAACCAGCACTGATGTGATGAACATGGACAGTGTGAGAGATTACCTACATGGGAAAAGTTGTGTAGCTGGAGTGATACTGCAACCCTCCAATAAAAAGCTGAGCATCTATGAGGCACAGAGAATCGGCATTCTCACACCTGGCACTGCCCTCTGCCTACTTGAAGCACAAGCGGCCACAGGGTTTATTGTTGATCCTTTGCAAAACAAGAAACTCACAGTAAAACAAGCTATCAGAGAAAAATTGATTGGTCCACAGATGCATGAAAAGCTTTTGTCTGCAGAGAGGGCGGTCACTGGATACACAGATCCATACACTGGTCAAAAGATCTCTCTTTTCCAAGCTTTACAAAAGGATCTGATTGTCAAGCAGCATGGCCTCCGTTTACTTGAGGCCCAGATTGCTACAGGTGGTATCATTGATCCTTTGAAGTGTCTTCACTTACCTCTTGAGGTTGCATACAGGAAAGGGTATTTTGATGCAGAACTTAATAAGGTCCTAACAGATCCGACTGATGACACAAAAGGGTTTTTTGACCCAAAGACACAACATAATTTGACATACATGGAGATGCTTGTTAGATGTGTAAAAGATAAGGAAACAGGACTGTTTCTCCTGCCAATGACTGACAAGCCAAAAGCTACTGAGACAAAGGTAAAAATGTACACAGACACAGAGATAAAGCAAGAGCTTCAAAAGACAACAATGACTGTATCAGTAGGACACTACTCAGGAAAATCTGTGTCTCTCTGGGACTTGATTCACTCTGGGTACTTTACTGAGGATCAGCAGCTTGAATTCATTGAGAAGTACAGAGCAAGAAAGATTACCACAGAAACCATAATTACATCAGTGATTTCCACCATTAAAAAACTGGAGAAAAGCAAAACTTCCAAGATGATAATGGGCCTGCGAAAACCGGTCTCTGCACAAAAACTACTAGATTCGGATGTTATTGACGCAGACACATTCAAACAGGTGAATAAAGGAAAACTCACTCTTGAATCAGTTGTCCAACATGAACCTGTGAGAGGATACCTTAAGGGAACCGGAAGCATTGCTGGAATAAAAGTTCATCCATCTCAACAAGTAATGAGCATATATGAGGCAAAAAAGGAAGATCTGTTGACACCTGGCATTGCACTTCTACTGCTTGAGGCGCAGGCAGCAACAGGATGGATCATTGATCCTCTGAAAAACAAGAACTATGCTGTTGATGAGGCAGCGAAAGAAAAAATAATTGGACCAGATTTACATGAGCAACTTCTCTCAGCTGAAAGAGCTGTCACTGGCTACAAAGATCCATACACTGATGCAACAATATCACTGTTTGAAGCCATGAATAAACAGCTGATTAAAAAAAGTGATGGTATACGTCTTCTTGAAGCACAGATGGCAACTGGAGGAATCATAGACCCAAATCAAAGTCACAGACTACCTGTTCATGTTGCTATCAAAAAGGGATATCTGGATGACGAAATCAGCAAAAATCTGTTGAACCCAGAGGATGACACAAAGGGATTTTTTGACCCAAACACTAAAGAGAAAATCTCTTACCATCAGCTGATAAAGCAATGCGAGAAAGATCCTGAAACTGGGCTACTTCTTCTACCCCTGTACAAAGAGCAATCCCATGTATTTCACACTGATGAGCAAATAGAGCTTACACTCAAAAACAAAGCTATCATCATAAATGCAGGGAGATTTAAAGACAAAGAAGTGACATTGTGGGAAGCGTTACTCTCTGAATATATTTCGGAACAAAAAAGGGAGCAGCTTATACAACAATACAAGAAAGGAGCCACGAAAATAGAGGAGCTCATTGAAATACTCACTGTTATTGTTACAGAAGTTTCATCTAAAGAAAGAAAGTTTAAAGGACTTCGAAAGCAAGTTTCAGCTAGTGAGTTGTTTGAGTCTAAGATTATCTCAAAAGAGCTTTTCACACAGATAATACAAGGGGAGATAACCGAAGATAATGTTGACAAGATGGAATCGATTCAGAAATACCTCGGAGCTACAAACTGTATAGCAGGTGTCAGAGTTGAATCTACAAAGAAAGTGATGAGCATCTACGAGGCCAAGACAAAACGCCTGCTGACGCCTGGGACATCTCTTGTACTGCTTGAGGCACAAGCTGCCACTGGCTTTGTCATTGACCCAGTGAAAAACAAGAAACTCTCTGTAGAGGAAGCTGTGGCTCAAGGAGTGGTTGGCAGTGAGTGGAAAAAAAAACTGCTTTCAGCAGAACGAGCAGTTACAGGATACATAGATCACTACACTGGAAACACAATTTCATTGTTCCAAGCCTTGAAAAAAGATCTTATTGTGAAAGATCATGGAATTCGTCTCCTTGAAGCACAAATTGCCACTGGAGGCATAATTGACCCAGTGCACAGTCACAGAGTACCTGTACAGGTGGCATACACAAGAGGTTACTTTGATGAAGAAATGAATGAGATCCTGTCCGACCCTGATGATGACACCAAGGGCTTCTTTGATCCCAACACTCAAGAGAACCTCACATATCTTCAGCTGGTGGAGAGGTGTGTCACAGATCCCATTACAGGCCTTAGCTTACTGGTGATTGCAAAGAAAGGAGAGTTGTATTTCTTTGTTGATGAGGCAACAAAACTCATTTTGAAATCTACAACCACAACCAAAGCGGGAGGAAAATACCAAAGAACAACAGTGTCTCTGTGGGATCTGCTCTACTCCAAATACATCACTGAGGAGAAGAGGAGAGAGCTTGTGCAACAGTACAAGTCTGGATCAATCACAATCGAACACTTCCTGAAAATAATACTGACAATCATTGAGCCGCAGACTACAACAACCTCGTCCTCCTCAATCGTCATGTGCCAACCACCAGAAAGACAAGTGGACAGCAGCACACGATCTACTATCACGACTACAGTCACAGAGACAACTGAAGTTAAAAACTTCCATGGAATCAGAAAAGACGTCACACCTAGTGAGTTGTTTAAATCACAAATCATCAATGAGGACCTTTACAACAATCTTACAGCTGGAAATGTCACAGTGACAGAAGTAAGTGAAATGGATTCAGTGCGAAAGTACTTAGAGGGAACTAACAGCATTGCAGGAGTGTACCTGCAGTCCACCAAAGAGACCCTGAGTATCTATGAAGCCAAAAGCAAAGGCCTGCTAACTCCTGGTACTACTCTTGTTCTACTTGAGGCTCAAGCTGCCACTGGCTTTGTCATTGACCCAGTGAAAAACAAGAAACTTTCAGTGGAAGAAGCTGTATCTCAAAGAGTGGTTGGCAGCGAATGGAAAAACAAACTGCTTTCAGCAGAAAGGGCAGTTACAGGTTACAAAGATCCCTACACTGGAAACACAATTTCATTGTTCCAAGCCTTGAAAAAAGATCTTATTGTTAAAGATCATGGAATTCGTCTCCTTGAAGCCCAAATTGCCACTGGAGGCATAATTGACCCAGTGCACAGTCACAGAGTACCTGTACAGGTGGCATACACAAGAGGTTACTTTGATGAAGAAATGAACCAGATCCTGTCCGACCCTGATGATGACACCAAGGGCTTCTTTGATCCCAACACTCAAGAGAACCTCACATATCTTCAGCTGGTTGAGAGATGTGTCACAGATCCCATTACAGGCCTTAGCTTACTGGTGATTGCAAAGAAAGGAGAGTTGTATTTCTTTGTTGATGAGGCAACAAAACTCATTTTGAAATCTACAACCACAACCAAAGCGGGAGGAAAATACCAAAGAACGACAGTGTCTCTGTGGGATCTGCTCTACTCCAAATACATCACTGAGGAGAAGAGGAGAGAGCTTGTGCAACAGTACAAGTCTGGATCAATCACAATCGAACACTTCCTGAAAATAATACTGACAATCATTGAGCCGCAGACTACAACAACCTCGTCCTCCTCAATCGTCATGTGCCAACCACCAGAAAGACAAGTGGACAGCAGCACACAATCTACTATCACGACTACAGTCACAGAGACAACTGAAGTTAAAAACTTCCATGGAATCAGAAAAGACGTCACAGCTAGTGAGTTGTTTAAATCACAAATCATCAATGAGGACCTTTACAACAATCTTACAGCTGGAAATGTCACAGTGACAGAAGTAAGTGAAATGGATTCAGTGCGAAAGTACTTAGAGGGAACTAACAGCATTGCAGGAGTGTACCTGCAGTCCACCAAAGAGACCCTGAGTATCTATGAAGCCAAAAGCAAAGGCCTGTTAACTCCTGGTACTACTCTTGTTCTACTTGAGGCTCAAGCTGCCACTGGCTTTGTTATTGACCCAGTGAAAAACAAGAAACTTTCAGTGGAAGAAGCTGTATCTCAAAGAGTGGTTGGCAGCGAATGGAAAAACAAACTGCTTTCAGCAGAAAGGGCAGTTACAGGATACAAAGATCCCTACACTGGAAACACAATTTCATTGTTCCAAGCCTTGAAAAAAGATCTTATTGTTAAAGATCATGGAATTCGTCTCCTTGAAGCCCAAATTGCCACTGGAGGCATAATTGACCCAGTGCACAGTCACAGAGTACCTGTACAGGTGGCATACACAAGAGGTTACTTTGATGAAGAAATGAACCAGATCCTGTCCGACCCTGATGATGACACCAAGGGCTTCTTTGATCCCAACACTCAAGAGAACCTCACATATCTTCAGCTGGTTGAGAGATGTGTCACAGATCCCATTACAGGCCTTAGCTTACTGGTGATTGCAAAGAAAGGAGAGTTGTATTTCTTTGTTGATGAGGCAACAAAACTCATTTTGAAATCTACAACCACAACCAAAGCGGGAGGAAAATACCAAAGAACAACAGTGTCTCTGTGGGATCTGCTCTACTCCAAATACATCACTGAGGAGAAGAGGAGAGAGCTTGTGCAACAGTACAAGTCTGGATCAATCACAATCGAACACTTCCTGAAAATAATACTGACAATCATTGAGCCGCAGACTACAACAACCTCGTCCTCCTCAATCGTCATGTGCCAACCACCAGAAAGACAAGTGGACAGCAGCACACAATCTACTATCACGACTACAGTCACAGAGACAACTGAAGTTAAAAACTTCCATGGAATCAGAAAAGACGTCACAGCTAGTGAGTTGTTTAAATCACAAATCATCAATGAGGACCTTTACATCAATCTTACAGCTGGAAATGTCACAGTGACAGAAGTAAGTGAAATGGATTCAGTGCGAAAGTACTTAGAGGGAACTAACAGCATTGCAGGAGTGTACCTGCAGTCCACCAAAGAGACCCTGAGTATCTATGAAGCCAAAAGCAAAGGCCTGTTAACTCCTGGTACTACTCTTGTTCTACTTGAGGCTCAAGCTGCCACTGGCTTTGTCATTGACCCAGTGAAAAACAAGAAACTTTCAGTGGAAGAAGCTGTATCTCAAAGAGTGGTTGGCAGCGAATGGAAAAACAAACTGCTTTCAGCAGAAAGGGCAGTTACAGGATACAAAGATCCCTACACTGGAAACACAATTTCATTGTTCCAAGCCTTGAAAAAAGATCTTATTGTTAAAGATCATGGAATTCGTCTCCTTGAAGCCCAAATTGCCACTGGAGGCATAATTGACCCAGTGCACAGTCACAGAGTACCTGTACAGGTGGCATACACAAGAGGTTACTTTGATGAAGAAATGAACCAGATCCTGTCCGACCCTGATGATGACACCAAGGGCTTCTTTGATCCCAACACTCAAGAGAACCTCACATATCTTCAGCTGGTTGAGAGATGTGTCACAGATCCCATTACAGGCCTTAGCTTACTGGTGATTGCAAAGAAAGGAGAGTTGTATTTCTTTGTTGATGAGGCAACAAAACTCATTTTGAAATCTACAACCACAACCAAAGCGGGAGGAAAATACCAAAGAACGACAGTGTCTCTGTGGGATCTGCTCTACTCCAAATACATCACTGAGGAGAAGAGGAGAGAGCTTGTGCAACAGTACAAGTCTGGATCAATCACAATCGAACACTTCCTGAAAATAATACTGACAATCATTGAGCCGCAGACTACAACAACCTCGTCCTCCTCAATCGTCATGTGCCAACCACCAGAAAGACAAGTGGACAGCAGCACACGAATCTACTATCACGACTACAGTCACAGAGACAACTGAAGTTCAAAACTTCCATGGAATCAGAAAAGACGTCACAGCTAGTGAGTTGTTTAAATCACAAATCATCAATGAGGACCTTTACAACAATCTTACAGCTGGAAATGTCACAGTGACAGAAGTAAGTGAAATGGATTCAGTGCGAAAGTACTTAGAGGGAACTAACAGCATTGCAGGAGTGTACCTGCAGTCCACCAAAGAGACCCTGAGTATCTATGAAGCCAAAAGCAAAGGCCTGCTAACTCCTGGTACTACTCTTGTTCTACTTGAGGCTCAAGCTGCCACTGGCTTTGTCATTGACCCAGTGAAAAACAAGAAACTTTCAGTGGAAGAAGCTGTATTTCAAAGAGTGGTTGGCAGCGAATGGAAAAACAAACTGCTTTCAGCAGAAAGGGCAGTTACAGGATACAAAGATCCCTACACTGGAAACACAATTTCATTGTTCCAAGCCTTGAAAAAAGATCTTATTGTTAAAGATCATGGAATTCGTCTCCTTGAAGCCCAAATTGCCACTGGAGGCATAATTGACCCAGTGCACAGTCACAGAGTACCTGTACAGGTGGCATACACAAGAGGTTACTTTGATGAAGAAATGAACCAGATCCTGTCCGACCCTGATGATGACACCAAGGGCTTCTTTGATCCCAACACTCAAGAGAACCTCACATATCTTCAGCTGGTTGAGAGATGTGTCACAGATCCCATTACAGGCCTTAGCTTACTGGTGATTGCAAAGAAAGGAGAGTTGTATTTCTTTGTTGATGAGGCAACAAAACTCATTTTGAAATCTACAACCACAACCAAAGCGGGAGGAAAATACCAAAGAACGACAGTGTCTCTGTGGGATCTGCTCTACTCCAAATACATCACTGAGGAGAAGAGGAGAGAGCTTGTGCAACAGTACAAGTCTGGATCAATCACAATCGAACACTTCCTGAAAATAATACTGACAATCATTGAGCCGCAGACTACAACAACCTCGTCCTCCTCAATCGTCATGTGCCAACCACCAGAAAGACAAGTGGACAGCAGCACACAATCTACTATCACGACTACAGTCACAGAGACAACTGAAGTTCAAAACTTCCATGGAATCAGAAAAGACGTCACAGCTAGTGAGTTGTTTAAATCACAAATCATCAATGAGGACCTTTACATCAATCTTACAGCTGGAAATGTCACAGTGACAGAAGTAAGTGAAATGGATTCAGTGCGAAAGTACTTAGAGGGAACTAACAGCATTGCAGGAGTGTACCTGCAGTCCACCAAAAAGACCCTGAGTATCTATGAAGCCAAAAGCAAAGGCCTGTTAACTCCTGGTACTACTCTTGTTCTACTTGAGGCTCAAGCTGCCACTGGCTTTGTCATTGACCCAGTGAAAAACAAGAAACTTTCGGTGGAAGAAGCTGTATCTCAAAGAGTGGTTGGCAGCGAATGGAAAAACAAACTGCTTTCAGCAGAAAGGGCAGTTACAGGATACAAAGATCCCCACACTGGAAACACAATTTCATTGTTCCAAGCCTTGAAAAAAGATCTTATTGTTAAAGATCATGGAATTCGTCTCCTTGAAGCCCAAATTGCCACTGGAGGCATAATTGACCCAGTGCACAGTCACAGAGTACCTGTACAGGTGGCATACACAAGAGGTTACTTTGATGAAGAAATGAACCAGATCCTGTCCGACCCTGATGATGACACCAAGGGCTTCTTTGATCCCAACACTCAAGAGAACCTCACATATCTTCAGCTGGTTGAGAGATGTGTCACAGATCCCATTACAGGCCTTAGCTTACTGGTGATTGCAAAGAAAGGAGAGTTGTATTTCTTTGTTGATGAGGCAACAAAACTCATTTTGAAATCTACAACCACAACCAAAGCGGGAGGAAAATACCAAAGAACGACAGTGTCTCTGTGGGATCTGCTCTACTCCAAATACATCACTGAGGAGAAGAGGAGAGAGCTTGTGCAACAGTACAAGTCTGGATCAATCACAATCGAACACTTCCTGAAAATAATACTGACAATCATTGAGCCGCAGACTACAACAACCTCGTCCTCCTCAATCGTCATGTGCCAACCACCAGAAAGACAAGTGGACAGCAGCACACGATCTACTATCACGACTACAGTCACAGAGACAACTGAAGTTCAAAACTTCCATGGAATCAGAAAAGACGTCACAGCTAGTGAGTTGTTTAAATCACAAATCATCAATGAGGACCTTTACAACAATCTTACAGCTGGAAATATCACAGTGACAGAAGTAAGTGAAATGGATTCAGTGCGAAAGTACTTAGAGGGAACTAACAGCATTGCAGGAGTGTACCTGCAGTCCACTAAAGAGACCCTGAGTATCTATGAAGCCAAAAGCAAAGGCCTGCTAACTCCTGGTACTACTCTTGTTCTACTTGAGGCTCAAGCTGCCACTGGCTTTGTCATTGACCCAGTGAAAAACAAGAAACTTTCAGTGGAAGAAGCTGTATCTCAAAGAGTGGTTGGCAGCGAATGGAAAAACAAACTGCTTTCAGCAGAAAGGGCAGTTACAGGATACAAAGATCCCCACACTGGAAACACAATTTCATTGTTCCAAGCCTTGAAAAAAGATCTTATTGTTAAAGATCATGGAATTCGTCTCCTTGAAGCCCAAATTGCCACTGGAGGCATAATTGACCCAGTGCACAGTCACAGAGTACCTGTACAGGTGGCATACACAAGAGGTTACTTTGATGAAGAAATGAACCAGATCCTGTCCGACCCTGATGATGACACCAAGGGCTTCTTTGATCCCAACACTCAAGAGAACCTCACATATCTTCAGCTGGTGGAGAGGTGTGTCACAGATCCCATTACAGGCCTCAGTTTACTATCATTGAGAAAGTGAATGAAACCAAAGCTTTTTTCATGCATTTTATTTTCTGTTGTGCATGCATTCTTAGATTTTTACTCAACAGAATGCAGGATGTTGAAACACGAGACAAATACACGCAGACTGTAGTTCTCCAACTACTGTTACCTATAATGCTTCAGTTACAACTGCTTGTTGTGGAGTGTAGATTATTTGAACCAGCACCCACAAAACCAGTGACACTGACACAACTCCACTTTGGAATTTAGCCATTCTTAACCCCCCTCAAAATAAATCAACTTTGAGAAATGTTGAATTTAGTGGCCGTAAAACTCTATTAAACTGATGAAATCATCTATTTTCTCAAAATATACATACAGATCTTACATAGATAAACACTTAAAATACAGCATATTGTTTTTAAATCTTTGTTTTCTGTATTCAAGGCTGTCACTGGGAAATAAAATCTTAGATTTGCAATACTTTTTGGGGATTTTGTATTCTTCTGCACAGCACTTGGGTCTGGATGTTTTAGAGTGCTTCATAAATAAAGTTGGATTGGATTTGTGGGAATTATGAATTGCATTATCGTATATTGATGTGGGTAGATGGAGTTAAGCTGTGCCTATAGAAGCTAGACTTAGATATGTTACCATTTAGGCCGAAAAGATGAACACTTAATTCTTAATTAAGTTATACTTTGCTTTCATTTGAAGTCAGCCCTGCTCTTTCTGTATTATTGTAAATTATGTTTTGTTGAAACTGTTTCATTATATGGCCAACTAAACAAATGAAATATATATTTTGACATTTTTGGAAGTTGATGTGTATTGAACAACAGACTTTAAAATTATTTCCTGATTGAAGAGTCCACACATGTTGGACAACTCTTCACCCATAATCATTTCTGTTCAACAACAATAAAGCAAATACAATGAAAAACATGTTTTATTTCAAACAAGAGTGTGAAATATGTCTCAATTGGAAACACTTAAATGTATATCCGTAACAAATATGTGAATGCAGCAAGAAAGCATTTGGTCATTCTGTAAATTAAGCTTAAAAGTGCAGCACCCTCTAGTGGAAGGACAGTATTACAAACTTTAAAGTTTTATATTTAATATCAAACAGTTATTGACGACATTCCTTAAAAAACAATCCATGAGGAAGTGTGTTTTTAAGACATTGAAATAAGCCTTTCGGATTCTGATTTTTGAAACCCGAATAAATGTGAAAACCACTACAGTTTGTCCAGCAGCTGGCGAATGTCTTCTTGGCCACGGTAAATTCTCTTTATTCCTCTTGGAAGATAGCGGCAGGATGAAAGGTTAAGGTAGCCAAGAGCCGTCGTTTGGCCGACGACAAGCCTGCAAAATAAAGCAAAGACACCAATTTATTTTTTGTGAAACCCTTGGAAAGATAATGAAAATGCTAAATTTGCAATACTCAAGATTTACAAATGTCATGCTGGATTCATGATCAGTTCTGATGATGTGATTGTCAAACGTTTATTTGATTAATGGGACTGGTAGAGTCAAGACAAACTATACATTAAGTACCTGAGGGCAGGTGGTGTGATCCTGGTCCCACTCAGGTTCAGTGAATGGAGGGTATCTGCCTGTGAGGCCTGAGCGAGGTGACTCATGGCTATCTCCAGGTCCTCCTCGGAGAAGAGCTGATTTGCAATGTCAAGCTGTTGCAGTGTTCGACTCCATTTCTGGGTGACCATGTGAAGCTCCTTCTTCGGTGATGATAACCCAACATTGCTGCAGAAATACTGTCCCCAGAACAGACACTCCAGTTCTGCCAAATCACAGCAAAATAAAGGAGTATTAATTAATAAATTGGGTTTTTAATGACACTCAGATCTGATATTAAGAACACAGCAGGCTATTGTATTAGGAACTTAAAAATAATAAACATTCCTTTGTAAATGTGCTTAAATATAAGTATAAAAAAGGGGTATTTCATCTCATCAATAATAGTTCAAGTCATTGTGGATTTCATATGAAAAGACCAGCCTATCATAATTAGTTCCCAATGTAAATCTTGCTTAAAGCTTTTTGAGTTATTATGTTCCTGTAGTGTGTTATATAGGTTTTTTCTGCATGTCAATTATCTGCAAAGGTTAAAGTCCCTGTGTTCCCTCCAGATGGAGTTTCCCCCCTGCCCCTGCCTGAAATGTCTCCATTGGTCTTGTTTACTTCGGTAACATAATGACGTCACTATGTAACACTAGCGCTTCTATTGGCTATATAGCGCTCTTAACACATTGTACTTGATAAACTAAGAGGCGGGACATCTCTAAGTTGACCAATCACAACAGAGCCGGCCAGCTAACAAATCAGAGCAGACTGGGCTCAGAGGCCTCTACTACGAAGCAGGATTTTCGCTTAGCGAGCTAACTTCAGGGAAAACTCTGGATTTCCGGTCCTACGACACTGGTTCACTTCTTAGCGGGCTAGATCTCCATGGTAACTTATGCTGAACGGCTAGCCTGCTCCGGAGCAGGTTAGGTTCCAGGATAAGAGAGCAACTCAGTGAAAGCACCACCTGCTGACCAATCAGAGCTCAGTGTGCGGAGTTTAAAGCGATCAAGTCATATTACAGGGGAAAGGAAATACAGAAAAGCTGCCGTTGCAGGAAAGACGGCCGGCAAAAATCACCGACTGTGTGAACGTGAACATTATTAGAATATCACCTCCCATCTTCAGAGCAATCTGACTATTATAACATTAGCGTTAAGAAAGCTTACTTAAATATCTGCCACAACATAAGTAACCGGATCAGAGTAACATTAAGTACAGTCCGCGGCACTGTGAGTGCAGACGTCGATGTGTCCCATTATCATTCATATCACATCATAATGTATAATTTCCTTATCCGAGTCAGCTTCTTGAGCCGTATCTGGCCGTGCAACACTCACAGTGTCACATGCTGTATGCAGAAGTATTATTTTAAGTAACACATTAAGTTGACGAAACACTCGAGACAAATGTAATTAAAGTCAGATCGTGTCTTAGTGATATCCTAAACCTGTTAATGTATGCATTCAAACACTTTTTCTGTTACCAGCTGTATTCACCTTGCAGGTGCAGCTATGTGGCTTTGATCCTGGATCAAGTGTTAAGTCATGGATGTTTAAAGTTTAACTTCTTCATATTTGACTAATATTATTCTACAGGATGCTTTTAATACACTGCAACACTCCTTGTCCCTCCGATTCTGACACTGGAAGGGACATGCCTTGACAAAGTAGCATCCTACAAATATCTGGGCATATGGATTGATGAAAAGATGGCCTTTGATGTTCATATTGGGAACCTACTGAGAAAACTTAGACCTAAACTGGGCTTTTTCTTCCGTTTAAAGAAATGTTTCCCGTCTGAAGCCAGGAAGAGAATTGTGCAGAGTTCCTTTCTGTCTGTATTAGACTATGGCGATGTGATCTATATGCATGCTCCTTCCTCCCTGCTTAAAAAGCTGGATTCTGCGTACCATACTGCTATACGTTTTGTAACGGGTGCAGGCTCTCGCACCCACCACTGCACTTTGTATCAGTCCCTAGGATGGTCCTCTCTGTACCAAAGAAGACAATCACACATGTTGATCTTTATCCTTAAGTCATTGCTAGGTAAGCTGCCCTTATATATCTCCAGACTTCTGTCCTTTTATACTTGCTTTTTTAATACCAGACGAGCAGCCAATGGGATGCTTTTAAATGTTCCTTTGATGCAGTCAGAGCTTGGTAAAGCTGCATTCTCCCACTATGCTCCCTTTTTATGGAATACGCTGCAAGTAAAACTTTGTCTAGAGGCACTTCCTACTGTAAATGCTTTTAAAAGGTATGCTACGATTAGCCCTTCATGAAACATGTAACTGTTTTACCTGATGCTGATGTGATTATGCTTCTTGCCACTGCACAAATGGCCTTCTGTATTTATATTTGAATTGTATGTTTTTTGTTTAATGCCCTTGTTTTATGTTGAAACTTGTTGTGTGCCGTGTTGGTCAGGACTCCCTGGAAGAAGAGATCTTGTATCTCAATGGGACATTCCGGGATAAATAAAATAAAGGAAAAATTAAAATTAAAGTTCCCTTTTCATTCAGGAAGTATGACGCTGCGCTGTCAGTACGCTTGTCCATGTTTGTGATTGGTCAAATGCTCCAAATACCACCCCTCTCATGTGAACGCGCACCTAACTAGATAGGACATGGCTGGCTTGAGCGATCCGCTTGATATCCGTGTCGTAGGACCGTTTAGCGAGAGCGCGTATGTTTTGGATTAGACCAACCGGCTAACTCAAACATATCCAGGTTAGGTTGAACCGGCTTCGTAGTACAGGCCTCTAGTTTCAGACAGAGGGTGAAAAGAGGTGCTGCAGCACAGACAGTATGAGAACAATAAAGAGCTTTTTGTAACGCCAAATCAACAAATAAACTAAATATGTATCACATGAGTTAAGCGTACCAAGACAGGGTAGTGATGAGAGACCGGATGGTGTGATTCGTGAACAGCCTCGCAGGTCCAGCACCCGCAGCCTGGTGGAGCCAAACAGGATGTCCCACAAATCTTTATCAGTCATGTAGGAATAAGAGGTGGTAGCGATACACAGCTCCTCCAGTAACGGGAAGCCTAATGTTGAATCTGCACTATTACGCATCGTCTTATGCAGGGGCCTCACATTCAGCATCCGGAAGGTCTGATGGGAATTACAATAAAAGTGCAAGTTTCATGGGTAAACAATGTAAACACATATGGTATACTAATGTAATGTAATGGTATACTCATTTATTGTTCAGTGGCAGGTAGCAAGGAGAGTGAAACATTTATCGCTAACAAGCGGCTAAAATGTAAAACTGAACTTGCAAATAACAATTATTCCAATGGATAATCAGCCGATTATTTCCTCCATAAATCATGTTGATTTTAAAATGTCATAAAATAGTGATGGTTTGTGTATTGTCTGACCAGCAGTCCAAAACTGCTTTAGGTTATTTTCTTACCTTGAGTTTAGGGCATGCCATTTGTAGTGCGTGGATGAAAATTGGAAGTTCACAATCTTTACTGTCTAGCTTTGTGTTGACTTCCAACAACTCCAAATCAGGACAGCTCCCCTTCTGAAATAACAAATCCAATATGTTGAGAGTAACAAGTGTATCTGCTCTCCATGGCTTCAGGTCTATGTGTATTGCATACACTCAAACAACATAGCTGGAAGGCTAGGTGTGACTTACGGTGATCGCTGACAGAAGTCTGTCATTCTTTATTCCATGAGTGAACAGAATCTGCTTGATCTGGCTCCCATGATTTTCAAGATACTCCAGGAGCCCCTCAACCTGAAACTACAAAAAAAGGTTTATTTAGAAATGTAATACCAAGCAGGTGGTGGGAATTGGTAATTGGACAATTACCATACATCATTTGAAGTCTCATGTTTTTCATATTTCACTCGGTCCTGACACTTTCATAAATGTCTACAGTTGCATTCAAACTAAATCAGGCATTGTTATGGTGAGCACAGGGTTGTACAGCAGTATTGAGGGTGACTCATTTGGTAAACCTATGAGATCCTCATTGATCGCAAGTAATGTTGTCACCGCTGCCAGGGAGGGCGGTGTTTAGCTTAGTTTTATCTTTTCTCTCTGCAGCTTTTTCCAGCATCCCCCTGCCGTCCTCACTGTTGCAGCCCAAACTCACGTCTTACATTCTGATGAGTGGTATGATTGCAGCCTAATAGTTGGATATTTTATTGTAATGCAAAATTGATTTAACTGCTCCCACAACAAGGTCTGTTAAATATTGAGTTACCAGGTCATCTGGAAAGAAACATTGCTTTTTAGTTCTTCAAATGTATTTGTTTGCTGCCAAGTGACATCGTGTTCCAATATAAGAAATACATCTCAAATGCCGATATCTCAACATGGCCACTCAGCAAAACAATCTTGACTGACAAAAAGAACTACAAGTAAGTGTTAAAATGTGTATTTTTGACCATGGGGTTAATGGTGCTTTTAAAGATGACAACATCTAATAAATTATAGGATGCATCCGCCACTAACATGTTGTTTTTACAGTGAAACTAATTTAACTGCTGAGCTGGTCCTGGACATACCTCTGAGTACTGCAGATCTATGCCCTGCAGAGACTGGCTGTGCAGACCGAGGCTGTGGAAGGCTGTCACTGCCAGGCCTGTACAGTAGGAGATCTTGAGGGAGCGGAGTTGGGGGCAAAACTGCGACACAGCCTTCATTGAGCAGAAAAACATAGGGTAAATACAACATGCGATGATAAAGACGGCATCCTATGAATTATCAGACAATATTTTGTAACAAAAATGCTTTTAAATGACTACTCCAAACTGGGCCATACTTTGTTACACTTTTTTTTTTTAGAACAAAACTATTCAAATACAGTTTATTGGATTTGGTTAACAATTACTTCCATAATTGACGCACCTGATGATTATTTTCAAAATGGACATTTTGTTTTTAAAATGTCAGACTGTGCCCAAGGTAATGTAGTAGATATTCAAACACTCAAAAAGAATCTTTAGCTTTTTGGATATATGACAAAAATGGAACCACATTTAAGACACTAAAAACAGCAAGTATTTAGATAAAAAGTGATAGAAACAATTAAATAATTATCAAAATAGAAGCCTGGTTGATTTCTCAACTGATTGGTTTATTGAATAATCTTTGCAGTTAAGAAGCTTATGACATAAAAGACAGATATCTAGTGTTGGTGACTTACCTCCACTGCATAGGTGACATTCTTTTTCCAGTGACAGAGAGAGAAGTTTCGTAGCTGAGAGAATCTAAAGAACAACGACTACATTTTATAATTTTTTTTAAAACATATCGAAAAATACAAGACCTACAAGCACAAACTAAATAACAGTTTATAGTCACTACAAATGCAGACCTGTTCTGTGCCATCCAGTCAAAAGTCTCCTTAATCTTCATCTCAGTTTTAGGTAGCTGGGTTTTCCCTGGTGCAATCCAGCAGTGACCCACAGTAACTTTACGCCACAGGACCGGACTGGAGGCAGCAGCGTTCCACAAACGACAAACTCGTCCCACCCTGAACCAGAACAGCAGAAGAAAAGTTAGTTTGGTCTGAAATAAACAATAATAATAAATGGAACAGCAAAAAATGCATTACATACATAAAAGTATGACTAGGCAACCACCATTACATCAAACAGCAGCAACAACAAAATAAGTACTCAGTATTATATTAGTCCATCATTGCATTAAAATCAATTAAAGTCAAACTGCATTGTCCCGCGACCCGACCACGGATAAGCGGGAGAACGATGGATGGATGCATTGTCCAGTTTTTTTGCCCCAAAGCATTTGATGGGGTTTTTTCTATGGTATTTTATTAAATACATGTGGAATTGTATACTGTATAACACAATTGACTGTTCAGGCCTATAATAATATTTCACATGTATCTCTTTGAAATTGTGATTAAATGTGACATTAAATGGATCAAATCTTAAATTATGTGATAATCTGTCATTTCAACAATTATGTAAATGATGATGGCAATCCTAATTTATTTATTTTCTCAAGTTAAACAACCATTTTGGAGTTATAGATTTGGACGACAGCATTTTTTATTAGATATTTGAGTAGTCACTAAGCTAAGCTACATCAAATCAAATATGTGTTTATTACCTGCATAGAAATGGTACAGCGCCATCCTGGACCACCACCATCTGAAAAATACTGACTAGCACCTCCTCAGGGAGACTCTGACCCCATCTGTGGTCTGTTGTTTTCTGTGGTACAAACAGATTAGTGTCCTCTTTTTCCTTCACAACAGGATTATTTGCCACTTTAGGTTTGGGACGGACTGTCTTTTTTTTCTTAATCTGACTAGCTTTTCTTTTTCCTTTAGTCAGCTTCTTTTTTTTGCTTCCCTTCTTTTGGGGGGTCCAAGCCGAGCCGTCGTACTGAGAAGTGGAACTGGATATGACCAGAAGCATATCCTCCCCTTGATGCACGGTGTAGCCCAGCGGGACAGGCCGGGAGACTCTGGCCTTTTTACGCTTCTTGGCCTTTGCATTTGTAGGTTTACTAGTGGTCCTCTTCAGAGATGCCTTCTTGGTCTTTGGTCCGTCTTCTCCTTGACCTGATGTACTTGATGTGCTCGGTGTGGTGTCTTCACTTCTTTCACTGTGGGTTGGAGCCTCTGCTTCCATCGTGTACTAATAATTAGTCTTTATCAGAAGCTTTTGTCAAATAACCACAGTGGCTGAGAAGTAACATATCGGCTTCTGAAAAAAAGAAAACAAATAAGATTAGTCTGTATCTGTGTGGGTGACTTATTGTAGATAAGAATGATATACAGAATGGTAAGACAAGCAGCAGTGGATGGATGTAAATCCAGAGTAACTTGTGAGATTGCAATCATATCTAGTGATTTACTTGTTTTAAGAACTTTCTTAATAAATAAAGCTTATGCTAATATAATAGTGTGTCAGCTAAATGGGATCGTACAATAGAGCAGAATCCTGCATATAGTGTCATAAATCCAACATGCTTTAAACAAACACGGTATATGGACATGCACACAAACTGTAAATAATGATTCTTCACTCTGTGTTTAGTATTTACTCTGTTGAGCGATTTGTTTAATTTACAACAGAACACTTTTATTTTAGTGTTGGTCATTTGTGCTTTTATATTTATATATAGGCTACTGTTATTAAACAATTTGTTCGCATACTTGTCTACATAATAGTCCTGTCTGACCTTAACCTTTGTTGTCCTTGTTCCTGAATGTTATGTCTATTTTTGTGCAAGTACATAAAGAGTAATGTAAAAAAGAAGACCAGTCAAATTCCTTGTATGTGTACACATTATTGGAAAATAAGGCTATTACATTTGTCTATGTTATGTTTTTGGGTTCCAATCATGTTGCATTGCTCAAGTATCTGTAATATTGTATTATTAATATCAGGGCTCGACATTATAAATGGCCCGCTGGCCCGGAAGCACTATTTATGGCGCATTTCCACTGCAGCGGGTAGCCCCGTTTAAGCGTCCTTAATCGTCCTCGTCCAGGTCAGTTTTTGGTGGCCTTTCCATATAGCGTAGCACCGGCTAGCGGGTACTTTTTCCGCCCCCATAAAATTGTGGTTCTATCAGGCCAGGGCTGAACTAGTGACGTCAACACTCTCGACTGCTGATTGGTCAGAGAGAATCGTTACAAGATCGCGCGCGAGTTCATCCCTAGCGTCGCATATCTAGAAGCAAGCTTGCAGCATTTTTATACACGGAGGAGCTACAAAAATGGCAACGTCAAAGAAAAGCACAGAAGAGGTGACGACGTTCCTACATCTCATTGGGGATGATAAAATCCAGCGGGAGCTCGACGGAACAACTCGAAATGTGAAAAAAAAAAAAAATGCCGATCGCCCCGCCTACACTGCGTTGCTACCCCAGGTCCTAAACTGTAATGGATGTGCGCCACGGCCTCGGACGGCCAGCGAGGCAGCCCGAGGCCTGAGCGAGGACGCTTAAACGGGGCTACCCCGCTGCAGTGGAAATGTGCCATTAGACACCCCGGGCCAGCATAACGTACTTTCCAACTTGCCCGCTCCGGCCACTAAAAATATTGCTTTAAAAAAAAAAAATTGTCCTGTGGTATTTTGACTAGCAATGTTGTTAAATTGTTTAGTTTATTAACGCTACAACTGAGGTTACCTACTGTAACCCCAGCTTCTATGAGTAAATGGTGTAGCCCTCTAAAGCTATCGCTATTGGGTAATCCCCCTGCGCCCCCGCGCAGTACTGAAACACTTGTAGTCCACGACCACCCGCAAGGTGGGCCCCACCCTCGGGCTTCCTTCCGGTATAAATAGGAAGGAGGCCCGACAATCTGCTCCCATACAAAATAATTTTTCTTCAGCTATTCGTAGAGCCAGTGGGGCCCAGCACTTAGAGGGCTGCGCCATTTACTCATAGAAGCTGGGGTTACAGTAGGTAACCTCAGTTCTATTTCGTATATGGCTTCGCCCTCTAAAGCTATCGCTATTGGGTTAAGGGCGAAGCATGATGTAGTCTGCGCCCCACTGGGTCCGCCCGGCACTAGAAGCACAGACACACCTGCTCAATAACACCCCCTGCCTGTTGGGCCATGCGTAATGGCGCATCACCATCCCTGGAACATAGCAAAACATGCCTATCTTCCAGACGGGGTGAAGGCTGGGAACAATACATACCGGCCGCTGTGAGAAAGTAGAGACGAAGGTCCCACCTTGTCCAGCGATCATAGAGGGGGAACAGCAGCTCTCTGCGTGTCAGACAGGTAGGAGAGCGCCCAGCTGGATCCCTGACGTCACTCACTCTGACCAGGCACTCCGTACAAAGTGTGTCAGAGGAAAAAGGAACATCCCTCCTATAAGAGGGAAAAAGGGCCGCTCTCCGCGTGCCGAGAGGCGCACAGATGGATCCCTGACGTCACTCACTCTGACGGGACACCCAGTACAGGGTGCGTCAGAGATGAAAGGGAGACATCCCTCAAATACAAATGAATAAATGAACAGGGGGAAGACCAAGATGCAGCAGTGCAAATATCTTCCACTGACATTCCTCCGTGCAAAGCCGTGGAGGAGGAAATTCCTCTGGTGGAGTGCGCCTTACTCTCCGGGGGCTCCACCCCAGAGGAGACATATGCCTGCGACACAGCCTCACACAGCCAGTGTGACAGCCGTTGTGCAGACAGAGGTTGCCCGATCGAGCGCTCTCTATAGTGCACAAACGGGCGCTGAGAACGGCGCCAGGCCGCCGTGCGCGCCACATAGCACGACAGCGTGCACACCGGACAGAGGAGATGAGACGTGGCTTCTTCCTCCGACCTGTGAGGAGGGGGAAAGAAGCCAGCCAGGGTGATCACTCTTGACCTAAAAGAGTTGTGATGACCTTAGGCATGAAGCCGGGTTAGGGCGTAAAACAGCTGAACTGCCATCTCCTTAGATCCGGAGACATGACGGAGCCACAGAGAGAGCAGACAAATCACTCACCCTTCTCGCTGCTATTAGAGCCAAAAGCAGTACTACCTTGGCTGATAACAGTTTAAGGGGAACCTGATCAGGTTCAAATGGGGCTTTGCTTTAGTGCGTGTAACACCAAAGCCACATCCCACAGAGGCGCCAGTGTGCGTGACACAGGTCTGAGTCTCCATACTCCTCGCATACAACGGCTGCTGCGTTCTGCGAGCCCCTCGGTTCAATTCGCCGGGAATATACATTGCTCTGATGGAGAGCAACGTGTGTGCGCGCCCAGAACAGCAGCCGCCTGGCTGCGTTCAGAAGCTGCGCAGATCGTACTCCTCCCTGGCGATTGAGGTAGGCTGCTTCCATAGCCGTGGCCTGTTGTCTGTGCAAATCAACACGTTTGATTGTACAGCAACGGGGCGACTCCCCCGTTCTTTTCCGAGATTTAGAAAAATAGCGGGAGTAAAAACCGCGCAAGACACTGTTCCTGGGATGACAGGAGTGTTTCTTGTATCCCACGGAACTGCTGGGGGGAGAGGCTTCTCTGTGATGTGCCGCAATGGTGACGAGCCACGCCATCGCCCACGCTGCCCGTGAGGCAAAAGGGCTGCGAGGGAGTTTCCACACGCTGCATATCACTCCGTCTTTCATCATGAGGTCCATACACACGCCCAGAGGATGAGAGGTGTGTGTATGCTGTCCACACGAGGCGTTATAACGGTGCTCGTGGATTTATTATGACCGTGTGTAGGAGGCATATCTGGGACAGAGGAATGCCGCAAGCTCTGCAGTTTATAAACCAATAGGTTAAAAACAGCAGGCTTCTGCAGCGAATGAACCACCTCTGGAGTGTCCCCCTGTTGGAAGAGACCCAAGGGGATCATCACGTGACCAGCTGACGCCAAGCAGCTGCGTCACGTAGAGGGCAGTGTGGGTTGTGACATGCCGGAGGAGAGCTGTCAGTTCCTCCACTCGCTGCCGCGAGAGCCGCGCTCTGCTGGCTGAGTTTAATTCCACTCAAGATAACCGTTTGTCTGAGAGGGAAGAGGACAGCTCTTCTTCCAATTCATTATGAAACCCAGGCTTTGACAGATGCGATACGAGATGTACCGTCTGTAAAGCGACTTCCTCCCTGGAGCGAGCCAGCAAATAGCAGGTCGTCCAGAGAAAACCACACTCTCGTCCCTCCTCTGTGTAGTGGCTCCAGCCTTCTCTACACAAAAATGGGAGGAGCCAGGAAATATCCGAACGGCAGACGATTGTCTGGTCTGATATTCCCTGAAATGAGAAAACGCAGGAATTTCCTGTGTTTTGGGATGATGGGTACGTGGAAGTATGCATCCTTCAGGTGGAAGTGAACCAGTCGTCCTGGTGAACACATTCCAGCACCTGTTTGATCATCAGCATGTGGAATACTGACAGATCGAGGATGTCTCATTGCCCCAGTCTTTTTCGGGATTAGAAAAATAACGGGAGTGAAAACCCCTGATTTTCATCCCTTTGAGGAACCCTGGAAATATCCTCTTTCAACAGGAGTTCCAGCAGCTCAGATTGGAGCGCAAGACATAGCTTCTGGGAGGACAGGAGTGTTTCCTGTATCCCATTGAACTGTGGGGGGGGGGGGGGGGGAAGGCGAACTGCAGGACGTATCCTCTGCTGATCAGCCTGCTCATCCATCTGTCCATCAGACCCACGCGCTGCCACTCTGAGAAAAACTCTGAGAGCGGGCGCACATGCTCGAGATGTGTTTTTTTTTGTCGTCATGGTGACGAGCCACGCCAGAGCCCCTGCCACCGCTGCCCGTGACGCAACCCAAGGTGTGCTTGGACCGAAAGGGCTGCGCGGGGGCCTCCACATGCTGCGTCTCACTCCGACTCTCATCATGAGGCTCGTACATGCTCAGGGGATGGATGGAGGTGTGTGCAGTGCTGCCCACATGAAGCATTATAACGGCGCTCATGGGTTATTATGACCGTGTGTAGGAGGCGTATCTCGGACATAGGAATGCCGCGAGCTCTGCAGGTTATTAACCGATAGGTTAAAACCAGCAGGCTTCTGCAGGGAGCCCTGCTGTCTACTTAATCAACAGATTAGTGGCAGCTGGCTTAATTACCGGCTCTGCTTCCTCGGAGGCTCTCGCGGAGCAGACCAGGAGCGGGGGAGCCTCAATCCCCTTTGACCCGCCGCCGGGAGACCCTGTCTCTGGGGTGGCGGGGGAGCGGAGACGTGGGACGGAGCCCCTGCAGCCGCCGAAGGGCGAGTCTGACGCCGAGGCGGTTGCTGTGGGCGTCTCTCCGCTTGCGGCCTCCTGTGGCCGGCGTGGACGCCACGGCTGCTGCGGACGTTGGTGCCGCTGTGGCAGCTCAGCCGGCTGGAGCCAGCTGGAGCCAGCTGGAGCCAGCTGTACATGCTGGCGAATGCCGTCCGCCTGTTCCGCGGCCGTCTTCATGGACTCCACCATAGCGTGGAACTGGGGTCCGAACAGCCCGTCCGGGCTGATTGGAGCGTCCAGTAGCACTTTTCTGGCCGTCTCCGTAACAGACGCCTTCTTCAGCCAGGATCTGTGTCACCCACGCGAAAATCCTCGCCTGGGAGACAGCGACGGACGCCCACAGAATGAGCGCCATGCTGGCCGCCTTGCTGATTTCCTCTGGGGGATTACCCAATAGCGATAGCTTTAGAGGCCGAAGCCATATTGCCAAAAAACGTTTCAGCCAGCTTGATCGATGGAGTTGGCTTCTAGTGGTGCAGTGACGCATACTAAAACCCTTTTATAATCTATCGATTAGATTTATGATTCGAAATTATAAAAGTAGGGTAGACATGTGGAGATTATCCGGCTGAACAAAACGTGCATTTATCAAACAGGTTTGTTTTCCACATACCTTATTTCCAGCTATTTTCCAAAACCCTGTGGAGAAATCCCATTTTTTGTCGAGGGAACCAGCAGCTTCCTTCCTAGTTTTAGGATGCGTCACTGCACCTCTCAATATGATGCCAATATAAACAAGAGAGGCTTCTCAATACTCAAATTTCCCCTCCTCGACTCCTCGGTCCTCCGGTAGTGACCCGGAAATGAATTTCAGCGCGCCATTTTGAAGGACATCTCATTTCTCTAAATGCACACAGAGGACCGAGGATCGAGCGTCGAGGAGGCTCTCTGGAGGAGCTATGACCGAGGATACACTGATGGTTCCTCCACGGCTCCTCCGCGGATGCATTTCCGGGAACGGTGGAGGCGTGACGCACGGCCGGACTTATCTCAGCCAATGACAGCTATGCATGCATCCCCTGGATATTATTTTAGAAACTGCTCTCATCACAACACGATGTTTACAGTGAGAACAGCTGTGAGGTCCGTGCAGAAAGCAGAGCAGTGTGTATATTATATATCACTCAGTATAACAGACCTACTCTCTTTATTTGCTTTAGTTTAGTAGATATCTACAAACAAAGAGTCCATATTTTTCTAAGACCATTTAGTGCTTCACATAATAAAATACACGGCTGTATCTTGATTATGCTTTAGGAGCTGTAGGTGTGCGTGGCACAGTGTGTAGGTGTGTGTGTTGTACAGTGCGTAGATGCGGCGGACAGACGGGTCTCAGTTGGTTTGGTGTCCTCTGCTTACTTTTAATACAACTTTTTGTTCAAAGTAAATATATAAGTTGTCATGAACACATCTGTCCATCAGACAGAGGGCTGCTGTGCCTCCTGTCATCATTAATGGACGTCTCTTTAAAATGACTGCTCAGAGGAGAGGAGTTCTCATTTATCTAACTGCCTGCTGCTTCCCCTCTTCTCTCCTCGGTTCCCCTCCTCAGTCCTCCGCTCGCATCTCCTGTGGGCGGGACTAAGTCTCGAGGATAGGAGTCGAGATGGGGACATTTAAGAATTGAGAAGCCTCTATGGTCTTCTGTCGGCTCTGTATATCAATGCCGACCTATGCTGACAAGTAAGTGAAGAGTAGAAAATATAAAAGGTATTGGCTATAGGGAAATGTCCCAGCAGTTCAGGATAATGAAGTTTCTAATCTATAGCCATTACATTTCTAACTCCTAGTGACAGGAAGGCAGAAAGCGCATTATACAAATAATAATACTCATAATAATAGCAGACATTTTTTAACAATGACCACAATATCATTATTTTAATAAACCAAATGTGAACAATTGAGGAAAATGAGGAAGAACTGATGATTCAAATGTTGTAGTACAAGTAGTAATGTAGTTAGTGCATACATTACTATTGCAACAAATGTGTTAATTTTCTTCATTATTAGTCGATTTTTTTTTTGGACGAATGCTCCGGGCCAGTGGTTACAACGGTGGGGCCAGTGATAATACAACTGAATATACACTATGGGAGTTTCGTAAAATCGACCAGCAAAGTTATGTGGGGTGAATGGTATATTTTGTTTTTAAACTGTGCTGCTGCAATATTGATCAAGGAAACAGCAGGAATACATGGAAATGTAACGTGTAACTAACAGACTTATTTAATAAATGTGTCAATGTGCGTGCGCATCCTCGATTGTTTGTAAAAGGAAGCTAGTCAAGCTAGTCACATCCAAACTATGTCTATGAAGTGATAAAAGAGAAGACTGCAAAAATAAAATAAAATAAACATCAGCGTTCTGTATGGTGCTAAATACTAATGAAGCATTTACTTATAAGAGCACATTGCAACGTTGATTTGTTAGCAAGCTAAATTAATCATACCAGCTCATAATGTAATGAGCTAACGTTACTGTTGCAACTATCTAGGAAGTTGACGAGCCACCGTGCACATAACGTAGCGGAAAGGTGGAACAACATGTGCAACTGCGTTGACAACAAACGAAATGAACACACACACACAACAGAAAAAAGTACAAATGAATTCGTTGCTATTTTTGCAATACCTGCTGCTGCTTCACCAACACCACTGGCAACCGGCTACTTCCATCTTCTGTAGTATACCCACAATGCATTTCACATCGCTCCTGTGATTGGTGGAGACCTCAAGTATAGCCCGCCTTTGTAAAGCTATCCAATCATTGGCCAGCCTGCTGTCCATGTTTTGACTCCCTAATGCTGTGTACTGAGGTTCAGAAAAGCACGGTGGTGTTGTTTTGAGGTAAGAAGAACTAATACTTTAAACGACTTTTACTGATACTTGTCAATTTAAAATTACTTGTAAATGCTATAGTACGCAAAGAGGTCTTATTCTCTGGTATCATTCAAGATTTATTGCAGTATATTATGCTACATTTCCTGTACATAAAGTTGGTGCTAACGCTAGCAAGTTGCTCACAACAATGCTAACATTAGCATGCAGAGCTATTGTTGCATTAGCCCTCATTTGCAAGTTGAGTGTTAATGTTTTTTTAGTTAAAGTTTATTTTTACAATTAATCACGGAAATTATCTAGTGTTGTCCTTTTTATAGTATTTTTTGCAAAAGCAAAATGTATGTGCTCCCAGCTAATAAGGCTCTCCAGGTGTACTGGTCAAGACGAGGGACTCCCTGGGCCCTTCTCACTTCTCTTATTTTTCATTTCCTCGCTCCTCGGTCTCACCGGAAGTTGATTTGTCTGCGCCATCTTGAGTAGCGTCCCAATTGCCTTATTTTTGCCGGATGAGCGAGGAGCTATAACCGAGGAACCACCTTCGATGAAATCCTCAGACACTCGCCCCGCCCCCTTACTGTGTATCGCTCACTGATTGGACGATGCAGTGCATGCACTGATCTGATGCTTCTTGACATGAGAGCAGTTTGCCAGCGGAGTGAAGAAAATACATGAACCTCACGGGAGTCACTCCTCAGTTTATATTGTGTTTTGTTTCAATTAATGTATAATTTAGTTACAAATATGTGATATATTTGAACAACAAAGTGGTAAAAAATAGATTTATTCATTTTTTGGAAACATTTTCATGATCGCTTTTTTCGTTTTACATTTTCATTTATTGTCATTTCCATTCAGTCAGTCATTAAGTGCTATTTAAAATGTTAATTTGCTACATATCCAAACAAACAAAGTGTGCAATCCAATGAATGTTAATCTAACTGGGTTTTGATAGATAACATATCTCTTTTTCTTCTCTGAATTATTTTTATTTATTTTGTGCACTCTAATCAATATTAATCAAACTATTGTTCGTTTATAAATTTTAAGAATGGCGTTTATCTTTTTTGAGAATTAGTTCTTATTTTATTTAATGTATTTGGGTCTACAACAGATGATACAAATGTTTGTGTCAGTAAATGTGCACTAACAGAGGCGGGGGTGTTTGTGAAAATAACGGGGACAGAGCTGCTGTCAGACGATCAGCTGTGCAGCGTCATCACAAACGTGCTTCTCGTGGTTTCCTTGCCTCCAAGCCCCCAGGTAGTGCGCCGGACTCACATGAAAATATTCGTGCTGGCCAAACGGTGGTACTACACTTCCGTTTGGTTGCCAGGCCCGGAAACACTTTTTCCCATTGACTTACATGGGGAAAGAGTGGTCTGTAACTCGTTGGATAAAATTTTTTTAACTAAATAAACTACCCAGTATGAACACTTGTATAGCCCTTATTAAAAACATTCGTTCCTCAAGTTGTAAAAATGTGCTAATAACGTTATTCTGAGAGTTATTTCCCTCTGCATTATGAACGCGCATCTAACCCACGGGACCGCGCCGCCCGGCACGTTCATGTTACGTGTCCCGACCAATCAGAGCACACTGTGCTCACAGGGAGGGTGGGGCTGGAGCTATTGGAGCTACAACGAGCCGTTAAAGGCAGAGAGTGAAATTCAGTGAATACACATAGTTTACAGAGATGCTGTATGAGAAACCAATGTGAGTTGCGTTTATCTTTACCCATGGATGCACAATAAGAACGGATCCATATCGTCTTACTGCCATCCCACGGAGCTGTAATAATGGATATATTGCACATGTTTGCTGTAATTCATTATCATACATGGGCTGTATGATTAAATCTTGTACCGTAAATGTTGTATTAAATAAAGTTAATATTACCGACATTATTAACGTCCCTGTAGCTTCGTATTGCACTAAGAAGCTTATTGCACTGTATATAAATATATATATATATATACAGTGCAATAATAATTTCATGCTAAATGAAGCTCTGTTGGATATCACTAGATCCTGTTACAGCGTAATATAAGTACATAACGATTGATGTGTACATTAGCATCATTACTAGCTAGCCGCTAGCTGCTAACTGCCGCCTCGTTCATATCAAATCCATGATAACAACAATCCATTACCATGCTGTCATGAACGCGCGGTGCTGTTACGTACATGGCCGTATCTACCATTGAGGTCACCGAGGTCCGGACCTCGGTAATATTTTCCGAGCTGTGTATAACAAAACGTGTGAAATAATTGCACTAAAAGGGGTTCTTTGTAGTACTTCCATTTACTGGCGATGGGGGCGCTGCATAACTACGTAGCCTCGGTTAAAGCAAACAGAAGAAGACGACATGTATCAACAAACCACCGCAGCCCGGACTTGTACCGGAGCAGCGGAGGAGTGATGAAGTATCTACAGATCTGAGTCCATCGGGCTGCTTGTGTTCCTGTTCATCAGGACATCATATGACCAACAGATCCTGTGTGAACGCTCTACATTAGTCAGTGGACGTCCGACAACATGCACACTAACTTATATTGCAGCTTTAGGCTATACTTTGGTTTAAATTGCGTGAATAAACTAGCTAGAGAGCTAACGTTAATTACATTCATCCAATGTCAGAAGGATTACCTTTTAACAAACGTTGTAATGGTTTTCTTTCATTTCAATTTGAGTAAAACATTGAAGATATAACATTGTATTGTTTTCTTTTTACATTGACTCAGATATAATGAAAAGACTACGTCAGTCGAAGCTCAGCTTTGGTAAGGAAGAGACAGGACAGGCAGAGAGAGAGAGATGGAAGTCAGGGAGGAACTGCAGGTACAGTCACACAAATATAATGTAGGCTTAATAAGCCCATCTATAACAATAGTCTTCATTTACAATAGGCATCATTTTAAAACATACATCTATTACAGTTATGATGTCATAATAACATACAATTGTATAAAACACAATTTCCTTACATCTTTGTTCTCTTTTTGAGAATCAAACGAAACAGATTTAAATAAAAAAAATAATGCAAATGAACAAGTGAAATGAACTAAACTGCTGACTTGCTTTTAATTCACTGGCAGGAGCGACAAGTGAGGAGGAGCAAACAGTGAACAACGAGGGAGAGATTGAACAAAGAGAAAGCGTAGAGGACAGAGTAATGAACAGGAAGAAGACAGAGAGACTCAAGACGATGGAAGAGAGGCTGCAGGTTATGGAAAGGAGAGAGACATGGAAAATGAATGTTGACAATGTGTTGTGATCATTTTAGCCTCTTCTCCATGTCCAGATCATTAATAGTAACAATCAACTGATTCTTATGTATTACACTTTCAAAAATAATTGATGCTGACATTGTCAGCCCACTGACATGGGTTGAAATCAATATATTATCCAATATGTGACCCCCCACAGGACTTAAAAAGCACCTAAATAGATCATGAAAATCCCAAAAATCTCGGGGGGTATACCCCGAACCCCCCTAACATGTTTGGACCTCGGTATTTAGGAAATCCTGGATACGGCCCTGGTTACGTGTACGCAAATTGACGTGCTTGATGTGAACGAGCATTTTGGTTAAAGTTGCGCATGCGCTATGAGCGCACATACGGGTACTTCTCAGGCATGCTGGGTAATCTGTGACGTTTCACTCTCTCAAAAGTTGGGCCATTTTATCATCATGCGCTAATGAGCAGCTCTCATAGGAATGAATGAGGCCCCGCCTCCCACGCTGTATCCAGTTCTTATTATACATCCATGCTCGTGGTTTCCTTGCATCTCTCCATGCTTCCCTGGTGGGAGGGACTAGTCACAGGGAAACGACGCAAGTGAGGGACGCAAGGAATCCATTTAACCGAAGTGAGAAGGGCCCCCTGAGTGGATAAGACCCCATAACTATAGTGGCTCATAATAAACAGATGTATACTTATTTTCCTGTTGATAAGGTATACCATTCTAAACAAATATATTGTCTCTAATACAATGGCCCTGCGCAAAAAATGTAACATAGGTTATTGTCTAATGTTTGGACGCTGATGTCTGTTTCACTGTAATTTGTTGTAATTATGATGTTTCATATTTTTCCACTTTATATAGAGAAACATTCTACAACATAATATAAATGTACTTTTTGGTACAAACTATTACAATCTTTAGATAAAATGTAGCATCATTAATGTAAAAGATAAATGTTGGAAAAAGTTTAGAACTTAGCTCTTTTTTTCCGGCAAGGTAATGAGTGACTTTTCCTACAGAACTTCAGTATAGTGTTATTGTGCATGCTACTGCCAGGGGGAGGCATTCTTCTGCTTTCTCCACAACATCACTGAAAGTGTGATTTTTCTGTGTAGTTTCACCTATTGCTCATTCAGAAGAACAGACTATAAGAACTGTAACCTTCAAAGTTAATCTTATTCTTACTAATGCCATGATGCCGTCTTACAGCATTATTGTTTTATATTTGTACTGGTAGTAGTTTCCAGGATGGTTTTCTTTGCTTTTCAGGATTGAAAAAATATGTGACAAACTGATACAAAAAAAACGATCCTTATCTAAAATACATGGAAACAGCCATAGTTACAAAAATGATTGTGGACATAAGGTTGTACACACCCGGGTATTTACCAAGACTTCGAGTATTGTTACACATGAACATCCCCTTTCTTCTTAGTGTGGTTATGCTTCTGAATGATGAAGATGCCCCCTTTTTCTTTTTTGAACGGTGACTCTCTTTTCAGACAGCACACAATGGAGGATGTCCAAGATTTCTCCCTTGGTGGTAAAGAGGCAGTAACAGAAGCTAATCTGAGTAAGTCTAACACTTTAACCATGCTTTTAACGTAAGTAAGCCCAACTTGTAGTTAAATTGTTATCAAGATACGATATGATGAAATTCACTATATACTGCAAATCTTTGGGAACAGTTTTCTGGAATTATTTTATATTTATAGCATTACAACCTTTCAGAATGTTTCCATCTTCCGTGGTTAAAAATTGAAAGCGCAAAATTGAAAGCGCAAATTAATTAAATCCATAAAAATCCTACATTTTGTACTTTTCTGCTCACTTGCTAATTTGTCTGTTTTTCAGGAGATGAGTACTATTGGAAGCTTGTTGCAGACTTCATTGGTCCTCAATCAGGAGAAGGATTGGAGCTTGAAAGTGCACCGTGCAAGAACAGACTTTTAATTCAAGTAGGACTTCTGACAGAGGACAATAATTTCCCATGGATTGCCATCGTATCTTGGCTAATGAAAATCTTCCCGAGTCATTGGTCAACTAACTTTCGTTGTTTGGTGGAAAGAGGCATCGCAACCACGTTGAGTCTGGGAAGTGATGCAAGGCAAATCTTTCTTGATTCAGACGTCAACTTTAACTTTGTTGGCCCAATATGTGACAGCATTGGAGTTGAACGGCAACATCTTTTGGAAATCAGGGATTTTAGTGAGCGAGCACAGTCAATAGAAGTCACTAATGGGCTGATTCTCGAGTTGAGCAACTTTGTCAGCAGGGAGAAACTTGCACCAGTTGTTATAGTGACTTGGCTTAGAAACTTCAACCCTGAGTTTTGTAAGAAAGGGGATTTTCAAAAGGCATATAAAGTCCTTAGACCTAAGATAAAGAAGTTAAAACTGCATTACCGCAATTATGAAACAAGGAGTCACAGGAGGAATGCAGCGATGGAAAATCTGCTTCAAAGTCCATTTGAACTGGTGCGTAAGAAAATGCCCAAAGTGACTGTGAAGAAGCGCATGAGAAAAGACGACACCATCCATTTTGAAAAAGTTATAATCAAGGAGGAATACGAGAGCCATGAAATCATGGAAGGGGAGGAATCTAACATGAGAAGAGACGTAAAGAAAATAATTGTGAAAGAAGATGCCTCTGTAAACGATGACAGTGATGAGGATTTGGACGAGTCCAACAGTGGAGAAGAAACATCAGATAACAAAGAAGATACCTCGACTCTGCTTGACATTGCAATGCTGTCTGTCCAAAAGCTGTCCAAAATGTACGGTGGGAAAACCGAAGCATGCAAGCAAGTTTGCTTGGATCTCCTCAAAAATCAGTATGCTCTGACATGCAAGGAGCATCGAGCCATGGCAGAGTTTGAGCAAAAACTAGACACACTTTGTGGAGAGCCTTCACTTGTTTACCCCGTTGTGTTTTTAAACTACAATGCCAATTTCCTTGTTGACTTGCAAGATGCTGTGGAGCAGCAGATCATGGCCTTTGAGAAAGAGATCATTCTATCAACCGGAGAGAAACTAGGCCGGGACAAACTTTCAAAATTCAAGAGCTTTGTGAATTTATCTGAAAGTGCCACTTCACGCTACATCCACATGGCTTGTGATACCCTAAATACAACCAACCCTGGCATGAAAAACTACAGGAAACACTGGGTAGCTTTCTGCGAAGAAAAGAAAAACCCCTCCAGAATTGCAGTAAATCCATCAAAACGATTCCAGAACTACTTCGAAGCTGCAGCGGGTCTTATCCACCATCACAAAGAGACGGCTCTGTTCTTTTCTGATTTGCTTGCAATGACAAACGACACAAACATTATTCTGGAGAGCGTTGCTGCTGATGCTAATGACTCTGTGATTCAGAGCTTTGTGTGTGTCCTGGCCATTGTTTACTGCAAAGTCCTCGGTCCTTACTGGCAGCTCCTGAATAGCAGCGGAGATTACTCCCTCTTCTGCCAGTACATACTCTCCCTGTACCAAAAGTTCCTCGATTGGTCCAAAGATCCTTCAACACTGCTAGAACCTGAAGCTGAGACAAATGTTTTTCTGCAGTACCCATCACAGGAGAAAATCTTTGATGGAGTGTTTCATTTCTGTGGCCAGTGGCACACTAATAGGGACCTTATCAGAGCTTGCCTGAAAAGGATAGTGAAGGTGATTGCTGCTGTCACTGAGGAACACCTGAAGGATTTCCTGCCAGGAGGAACGTTTGGTCAAATCCCTTCACCAGACCTGATCTCACAACTGGAAAGTTGCACCTTTTCCGCCTTGATGGCGAAATATCCTTTCAGCACTGCAGAAGAAAGTCCCATCAAGAAGAAAAAACATGACAAGTCTTCCAAACGCTCTTCACAGAAGAACCTTCAGGAAGATGATGACCAATCCGGTTCCTCTGACAGCAGCTCTGATGAATCTTCCAGTTGGCAAAGAAGTGGCCAAAATGATGCCGACAGTCCCAAGATTAAGAAAGTAAGGAAAGTACAGGAAGAGCGAGTGGAGAACAACGATAGGGATTACATTGTAGCTAAAGTGAAAAGAAACGGAGGGCCATGCAAGACACAGCAGGATGTTGACAAAATGATGCTGCGCTTTGACGGAAAAACAAGGGAAGACAAACGGGAAGGAATCCGTTGTGAGATAATGTACCAGAAAATGGTTTTGGACAACACAGACCATAACTTGGGTGGTACTTTCAGCAACACCACACAAATGGTGTTGAAGCTGAAGCTTGCACTTCCTCGTGTTAAACCTGGTTACTCGCTTGTTTGGGCCCCTAAAAAAACAAAGACAAAGCCTGTGGTTCAACCTAATGCTGCTACTGGATGGGATGTGCCAACAGCACATGAGAATTTTCATGGCGTCTGAAAAAAAGTGTGGTTTTGGAGAAAAGAGAATAATTGTCACTCTCTTATGATTTTACATTTGCAAACTAAAATTATCCTTTTTATTGTATGATTCTGTATATATCTATTGCAGCTGTCATGTGTGTTACTTACTGTTCTTCAACTGCCTTTATTTAAAAAATATAAGGTTTGATTCTTGTAGATTATCATGTGCATATAATTGTATAATTTGTACGGTGCTGTTTTGTTACCTTTTTCAGTTACTGGGGGAAACTTTTTTTTTAATACATGATTATGCATTGGGATTATGAGGTCAGTTGATAACTGCTGATTTAAAATATGTTGTATAAACCACTAATGAAATAAACAGCGCCTTCGTGCATCGTTTGTTATTTACTGCCTGTAGAGATGTAAGCTTATGTTTAGGCTCTATTTAACATCGTCTCCCTGGAATTAGGTCCCTTAATATCGTGTTTTTCTCAGATTTGAAGGGTATTCCTGGTTGCATTAAAGGCATCAGCAATGTTAATGAGTTCATGCATATAAAAGCCTTGACTGGGAGGGGCTCAAGTTTACAGAAAGGCAGCACTGAAAGAGGGTTCACTGTGCCTGATGTCAAAGCCTTAATGCATTTATTGTTCCAAGACTATACTTGAAAAATAAATTAACCTTACCCACTATGTCTCCAAGAGAAGATGATGGAGTCCCCAAACCTTGCAATGATATAATAATATATCCCCATATACAGCACACACATATTTACAACCAATTCGTGCATGAATCATAGTCACCAACGAATTGTCAAATGAAAGTCCTCAAGTGTAAACATTTTAAGGAAAAACCTTGATTTTGATTGAGTTTCATCCAACCAGTGGTCTAGGAATGGTTTCTTTGACGATGGTGCCTTCAAGTTTCTCGGGAAACGCATTTACTATGGCAACAACACATAACAACGCTGTATAAACTGTTATAATTCTTTCAAGTTAAGTTGAGTGCCTCTTTTTCTGTCTAACAGCCAGTATGCAGATAAAAGGATAGTCCATGGAAATAGCTGGACACTGGTAATGCGGAATAAATGTTTGAAATAGCAAATAATACAGTTAACCAGACGTTTGTAACCATCGGAGAAATGGGGGTACATTAACTCGAGTTCACATGTTGTAGGTATTTATAGGTCTATTTGACTTAATATTACAATATTTATATTATATCCTGCTACTTTTGAAACAATTATGCTCCTTCTCTACTTCATTTTAGATCATATTGTACTTTTTACTCCACTACTTAGACTGCATATCTTAAGTCACTTAAAGTTAATTTGCAACTTTAGATTATTAATGGAAAATATACTATTAACCAGCAGTGTATAATGCTGATGATCACAGTAATGCATCTTTAATAATAATACAATAACGTTAAATTATTCTGAAATAGGCTGATCTACATAATAACTAATTTAGAGTCTTGTACTGAAAGTTGAATTTACGAGGCGCACGGAAAGGCAACTGAAGGGGCGGAAACTTTGCGTAAGTGTCCACCACCATTCTTCACGTTAAAGCAGTGTGTGAAGAACAAACGGTGTCGTCGTTCAGCCTAAACAAGCCCGTAAAACGTGTTACCAGCCTTTTGTTTGTTATTATATCCGCAGTCCGCAGCACCATGTCCGGCAGCTGGTGGAGCAGTGAGCCGGTGACCCACGGGCTTGTGGCTCTGTTCGCCATGGGGTCCTGGATTTCTGTCAACAGTCTGTGGGTCGAGCTCCCGGTGGTAGTCAACGTGCTGCCCGAAGGTCAGTGATGCAACTTACCTTACCTGACCTTTGGTCTATCACAATTGAGCCCTTATTAATGAATAAAGTAATATAATGTTGACACTTTGCTTTATCATTCATTATCTTTGGCTTCAGTGGGACTTTGGTAAAAACCTGAGAAGTTAGCGTGTACCAAACGACCACAGCTAGCTACGTGTTTCATTCAGTCATTCATGTACTCGTGTGATGCAGTATTAAGAATAATTAAATGTAACTGTGTTGAATACAGCATAGCTACGGGTATAACAATATCAATCAATAAATAATAAGAAGCAAAGTAATGGTACATCGTTATCCATATTCCAGCTACACAGTAAACTATACCTTATAACAATACAATCATATTTTCAATAACACTGAGGTCCTTCTGTTGAATTGAATGAATGTTGATGTTGCGAATTGTATTCTTTTTATATGAGATTTTTCGGAATAATAAAATATCGGAATACTTCCTCACATCTTATTTTATGTGTCTTGCAAGCTACATTTTAGTGTGTTTTTAATGTATGGTAACTACTGGAAATCTTAACTTATATGAAGTAGCAATGTAACAAAAGAAGTAGATGCCTAAAAATACAGCTGCATGAGTGATTTAAAATAAGTACCTTTTCATGGAAAAGAGAAGTTCAAGTTTGTGTTTTTCATAGCTCCCATTTCGATGTATTGTAACATACAAGAATATATAATATAAACCTATTCCTCATTGCCCTAACTGATAATTGTATCTGCTTTCAGGCTGGAATCTGCCTGCCTATATCTCAGTGCTGATAGCATTTGGCAACATTGGTCCAGTGGCAGTGACCATCACTCACCACTGTGCTCCGGGGCGTTTAAACGAACGCATCGTCATCCACTGCATCCAGGCGCTGGCCGTGGTGTCCTCCGCCCTTCTGGCTGTCTTCTGGTCACACACCCTCACAATAGCTGGAGAAGAAAGGTCGCTGCCTTTCCTGCTCTTCACCTTTCTGCTGTCTTTTGTTTGCTGCACGTCCAACGTCACCTTCCTGCCTTTCATGTTTAGTTACCCTCAACAGTATATTCGTACGTTCTTCATCGGTCAGGGCCTCAGTGCCTTGGTCCCTTGTGTTGTGGCCTTAGGGCAAGGCGTTGGCAAGCTGGAGTGTAAAACCGTGAATGGCACAGTGCATCCAGAATATTTAAAAGAGAACTTTCCTGCACAGAACTTCTTCTGGTCTTTGTTTGTCATGCTGTCAATCTCAGCTCTGAGTTTCCAGGCTTTAATGCGAAGACAGGTAAAGTCACAGGAAGATGCACCTGCACTGGAGTCAGAAAATGCAGCAGCGGTGAAAAACGGAATGGAATCGGACCTGCTACAGAACAGAGGGACACCGGTGTCTGAGGAGCTGGTGCAGATTGAAGAAGTGCCACAGACATTTTGGACAAAGAGGAACATCTACCTGCTGTCTCTGCTCGCCATCTCAAACGCCCTCACCAACGGCGTGCTGCCCTCTGTGCAGAGCTTCACCTGCTTGCCTTACGGGACCATGACCTTTCACCTCTCTGTCGTCCTAGGCAACATAGCCAACCCCCTGGCCTGCTTTGTAGCAATGTTTGTTGTTTTAAGGTGAGAAAATACATCTATTCATTACAAAGTTGGGACTTGATTTAAAAAAGAAATATTCAGGTACAGTGTTTTGATTAACCCCATGTTTGTTTTCCAGGTCCTCCACTGGTCTCAGCTTCCTGTCTATCGGGGGGATTGCGTTTGCTTCATATCTCATGGCGTTGGCAGCAATCAGCCCCTGTCCTCCTCTCCGGGAAAACTCTGCAGGAGGGGCTTTAGTGGTGAGAATGCAGTTATTTTACACATTTTAGTCTGAAGGAAAGTAAAAAATTAAACACTTACACACACAGTGAAAACTGTTTTGTTCCTCAGCTTCTAATTTAGCAGTTGGAAATGAACACATGTTTTGACTGCCAAAGTTGTGTTTTTTTATTATGTAGCAAGTTGACTGCAAAAAAAGGCGCACATGTTAATATTGCACCATTAATACCGAAATGCTGCAAGTAGCACACACACAACCATGGGAACTGTTTCAAGAGGACACTCAATGATTACTCTAATCACTCAGTGATTACTAAGTGTTTTATCTGTTTGTTTGGTGGGAAAACATCCAAGTCATGTGAGCAAGGTCATCACTTTTTTTGTTCCCTTGTGAAATTGCATGCTTCTGCTTCTCATGTGTTGTCAAATGGGTGAATTTGTTTTTCATAATTTGGAGTGTGTTAAACTCCTACAACAACAGCAGGGTATCACACATTTTCTTGAAGCTATCAGGATTGAGCAAAAAGGATTCCAGTTCTCATATTAGATCTGATCTAAAGTCTTATGGCGCGTTTCCACTGCAGTGGGTAGCCCCGTTTAAGCGTCCTTAACCGTCCTCAAGCGGCCAGGCCAGTTTTTGGTGGCGTTTCCATATAGCCTAGTACCGGCTAGCGGGTACTTTTTCCCTCTTTTTCCGGCCCCATAAAATCGTGGTTCCCTCAGACCAGGGCCAGGTGCTGAACTAGTGACGTCAACACTCTCGACTGCTGATTGGTCAGAGAGAATCGTCACAAGATCGCGCGCGAGTTCATCCCTAGCGTCGCATATATATCTAGAAGCAAGCTTGCAGCATTTTTATACACAGCATTTTGTAAACGGATGAGCTACAAAAATGGCTACGTCTAATAAGAAAAGCACACCGTGGTCGACCGAGGAGGTGACGACGTTCCTACATCTCATTGGGGATGATCAAATCCAGCGGGAGCTCGACGGAACAACTCGAAATGTGAACAAAAACAAAGCCGATCGCCCCGCCTACACTGCGTTGCTACCCCAGGTCCTAAACTGTAATGGAAATGCGCCACGGCCTCGGACGGCCAGCGAGGCAGCCCGAGGCCTGAGCGAGGACGCTTAGGGACGCTTAAACGGGGCTACCCCGTTACAGTGTAAATACGCCATTAGTTTACCTCCCTGTTCATGTCCACCACTGATTCCAGCTGCTTGCTTGTGCCCCCTACAGGTCATCTCCTGGATTGTTTTCACTGGCCTCCTCTCCTATGTGAAGGTGGCAATCGGGACTTTGCTTCACGAGGCGGGTCACTCGGCCCTGCTGTGGTGCGGCATCTCCATCCAGGCCGGCTCACTGATCGGAGCCCTCACCATGTTCCCCCTCATCAACGTCTATCAAGTGTTTGAACAGGGCCAAGATTGCGTGAATAACTGCTGACTGCAGGAGTGAGAAATGTAAGGTTTTATATAGGCTCAATTCGTAACAGAATGACTACTTTAACACAGTTTTTCACGGCTCAGGAGTGAAGAATCTTCTTTTCTAGTGATGAAGCATCCTCTCCTGATCCAGAGGCATCTGAGCCTGTGACAACATTCCCAGATAATGGAAGCTTTGTACGCTGCACATTGGCCAAGGGGAAGTAAAAAGCGTATGATGCCTTTACACCACAAGTGCTTTGTGTGGTGGTTTGAATCCCTCTAGTTGTTTACTGTTGCAAAAACAGCAGCTGATATTTTCACAACACAACAGTCCATGGGAAAAGCTCTTTACTCAGGA